TTTAAATAGCAAGAGTATTTCATATCAACTCTGCTAGCTTAAGTAAATAAAATATTAAAATCTGAATAAATTTAAAAGATACTATTTAATTAATACTACCAAAGCTTACCAGATCGAGTCTATGCTCTATATTAAGCGTTTTTTTTCGTAAAAACATTTAATTTTTATATATTCGATTGATGATTTTCGGTACTGATCAAGCATTATTGGAATAGTTATATTTGTATTTCCTAGTGAGACGTTTTTGAAACTTTGGTCGGTTGTTTTGGGCCGTCATGTTTTCGGTCTTCGAAGCACGCGCCACCACACAGACACACACACACACACACACAAGTTCACCCAGACACTGGCACTTGAACACACACATAGACACACAGATACTGGCACAGACACAGGCACAGACACACTAATACAGACGGAGTGGAGCTCCGGCGTATTGTACGTGCTCTTACACCGCACAGTGTGGCGCACTTCCTTTTGATTTAGTCATTTTTCTCTCTTTAGCCGACAGAACGGCAGGAGCAGGTCGTGTCATGCCCCCGAAACCCCTCAACCGCTCATCCTCTCAACCTACCCCTTCCTGTCCCCTTCGCCACTTGACAAACTGCCTTCCACACCCTCGAAACCACCGCCGCACCACCGCCTCCCCTTCGTCCTGGCTGTGCTGTCCTGCTTCCGTTGCCATTGCGGCATGGAGCGCACTTCCGAAGCTTTTCCTGTGGGGCTTTCCCTTCAGTGTGCGAGTCCTTAGTCCTTTCGCCCCCGCCGTTTGATTTTCAGCTCTGTTTTGCCACCAATACCTTTTCGCATTGTTATTGTTGTTCTTGCTACCGGGACCGAGCACGAGATCCGTCCCCAACCTTCTGCTCTTCTGCTCTTCTACTCCTGCTCCTCCACCTGCCCCCATCCACTTTTTCCGGTCTCCGGTTGCCACTGCTGTCTGCGCTTAACTTGCCTTTTATACCTTTGACTCCAACTGCCAGTCGGAGGTGATACACAGAAAAAAGTAACCAATAGGACTTATTATAATTGCAATAGCTATACCAGAAGAAATGTATTAAAGGATACCTTCCTCCAACTTGTACAAAATCAATAGCTCATCAGTAATCTTAAATAGCTGATAGCGAGCTATATTTCTGTTCTTGATAATATATATATATTTCTGCTTTATAAATTTAAGTTAATAAAACATCCATAATCTATCCGTTTTAATCTAAGCTTTCTTTCGATAAAATTGAAACTAAAACTATTTCTAGGACTCTATCAAGAATTTAATTTATATAATTGTAAAAATTATTTAAGTTCTTGTTCGAAACAAAATGTTAGATTTTATATTATAAACCCATGCCATTAAAAGATTTTTTTTTATTATTATTAAAATTGAATTTAACAGATATATGTCTTTTGAATCTTAAGTATACTGAAATAAAAACAATTTACCTCAAATTAGTACACTTTGCTTAAATGAATTTACAAGACTTAAAGTGTTTTCATTTTTTTAAGAAATCTATATTTTATATAACAAGCTTTATTTTGTTTTAATTTTCTTAGAGTAGGAAAATATCTATTGATACCGATTTGTAGTGCTAAAATGCAACAACTTTTTAGCTCAGTGTAGCCTCGCATAGCGGGTAGGGCATTTCCCACAGTCAGCGAGCCGTGGCCGAAGGTTGCATGTGGCCTGCTGCCGGCTGTTACACTGCCACTTCTCCCACAAGTCTGGATGGGTGATGGGGTGGTGGGGTGGCGGGGGGTTGGTGGTGCTAGTGGTGGCTCAGGGGATGTGGCAGTGGCAGTGGGGCCTGTCAAGTCGACCAGAAACATTGGCAGCAAGTGGGGTGCGGCAGAAACAGAATCAGAAGCAAAAGCAGAAGTCGGGGCAGAGTGCGGCAGAGCGGCAGAGGAAAAGCATAGAGAGAGAGAGAGACGCAAAGCCGTATAACTGGAGCCCGGCCAGGGTCGTCGTGGCAGGGCTTTTAGCGATGACGATGATGACGCTGGTGGCGGCCTGCCTGGTCTCGGTGTGGCTATAAACGATTTATGTGTGTGCCAGCACCACATGACTGGCCCCGGACCCACGAACCCACGGATCCACGGATCCACAGACCCACGGAACACCCCAATCTCCACCCGCGAGGGCAGCATTCAAGTCATCGTTCAGTTCGGTTCAGTTCAGTAATTTGGCTGGCGGCAACGGCAGCTGGCAACATGCGCCAAGTGGATTGGGTAGCGAGTTCTCATCCTCTCATCCTATATCCCCGGCATAATGCCCCCGATCCGGTGCCATCCCATCCAGCCCAACCGAGTTCACGTGCGTAGTTTCGAGAGCTCTTTGTGCCCCGGCCCCGTGTTTGTGCGCTCAACTCTGATTGCACCTGGCCGGGCCGCATAAAAAACGCAGCAAAACGTGGAGTGCCAACGACCCAAGAGACTCGCACTTGGAGCCACTGTGTGAGGATTTTCTTCAGCTTTAAGCTGCGGCTGCTAATTGCTCATTATGCTCCTCAGTTTTCGGCGCCATTCAAACTGGTGTTTAAAATTTCATAGAAATTTCACTCGGTTTGCCGTGGGAAATTGTTCAGCTCAGGCGTTGAAAATTGAAATTTTGGGTAGCCGGAAGCCGCAATGTGATATACTCATAATTAAATTACCAAGAAACAAAGGAAATTCCGCACTTAAGAAAGTGCAAGATTTACTTTCTTACAACTATCTTAAGCTGAATCAATTATACTATATAATCATAATCAGATTTAGGCTAAGATTCATAATGATCTTAATTTTACTTGCGATGATACATATCTAAATTCAGTTACTTTTGTGTTAATTATCTGTAAGTTTAAATGATGAATCGTTCTACATTTAATCATAGCCAAACCCTTAACTTGACGATCTATTAAACTATTGTTTGTATATATTTTCACCTCATTTGTGGTTGTGGTTTTCCTTTTTAAATCAAATTTTTGGAAGTCGCAACATAATGTGATCAGCTATTGATAAATGAATATATTCACAATGTATTACAGCCATGTAAAAAGAGCTAAGCTAAGCTGTGATTATCCTGCCAACCTTGTGACGCATTATGTTGCGTACAAATTCGATTGGTTTTGGAGTCCTGGTCCTGTGAATCCGCCACATGTGGCGACACTGCAGCAATGTGGAATTTCCATATTGTGTGGCACGCAGTTTGGGGCACTTGTTGTTGGCTGTCGACTGTTTGAATCGACGGGGATTGCGTTGCGCACCTAGTTAAGCCACGGCTGATGGGGATGTCCCACAGCCCACATCCCACATCCCCGCCAATTTGTTGCCACGCCACTGCGCCCCGAGCTCGCACCAGCAAGCGTATTTATCTAATAGTCCTTTCTACTGCCGCTGTCACAGTTGTCTTCGTCTGGCTCCTGGCTCCTGCCACAGCCACTGCCACTGCCACATCCACAGCTCCTCATTTTTGCTCCTGCTACTGCCGCACTTCCTCCTCCGTTTTCCGCTGGCCTGGCTTATTATTTGCCACGACTGCCGCGCCGCAGAAGTTTCGCCTCGTTGGTGTTATGATTTCGATGCGGGCAGCCGAATGGCAAAGTCAGCGACAGCAAACACCCACACATCGCCCCGCTCATCATCCATCCAACCAGCCAACCCCGCAATCTACCCCCCACTTCTGCCGCACACATCCCCGCTGACCCCGCACGACCCGCAGTCGGTTGGCTGGAGGAGCAGGAGCTGCTTCGTCGCCCGCAGGCCACAGCTCCGGTCCTGGTCCTGGTCCCGGCTACGGATAACCCGCCCGCCGACGCCGTTGACGCAGTCCACCCAGCAAGCAAAATGCCCAAGAGCTTCTTAGTCAGCAGTTTTATTTCAATTAATATCACATAACATGTTTTTAAAAATATTTAAAAGAAAAAATGATTTAGTAATAAATCAATATATCACTAGTAAATATAAATATATATAACTTATCAGCAACATGTCTTCATTTTATTAACAATAATTTTTTGAAATTATTAAAGGAATCATTTTTGATGTTTTAATGAATAAACTTAAAATTCCAAGATTACCAAGAGTTGGGTAATGAAAAAAGATTGAGAATCATTTTTCACTTGTTCTTATATCTCTTTAAATATGTATATTATATATTCTGTGTTACATAAAAGGTTCTTAATTTATAACATATAAAATAATTCATTTTAATTCAACTAGCCTAAGACAGTTGTAGTTCTTATATATTTTTAACAAAATCTAACAATAGCACTAATTATGTTCATCAAAAGACAAATACTTACATGGCCCCAAAAAATATGCTATGCCTTTTGCCCCGAGAAACTAATACTCATCCGCCATGTTTGCTGGGTAATTTCCTATTTGCGCCTAAGCGAATTGATTTGTATGCCTGTGTGTGGGTTCCTGTGTCTATGCCAGTGTGTGTGTGTGTGTGTGTGTGTGAAAGCCAGACATGGTCACGCCGTCCGTCCAAGTGGCGGCACGTCGATCCGGCTTGTCGTTTGGGCTGCCTGACATTTGCCGCAGCCAGCGCGCCACCAAACCCCCCGCCCAAACGCCCAACCACCCAAACAGCCAACCATCCAAACACCCAAACACCCACCGCCCACTGGCAACATGCCTCTGCTGCGTCGTTAAGCTCTGGCCAAATCTATGTGTGCATGTCTGTGTGGAGGTCGGTGGGGCAACCATTACCACAACCACCATTAACGTGGCAGGCAGCCAGGCGTTGCTGTTGCTGTTGCTGCTGTTGTTGCTGCTGTTGCTGCTGTTGCTGATGTTGTTGTTGTTGCTTTTATTGTCGGTTGACTCCAATCTGCTTTGGTTGCTGCGCCACACGACGACGACGACGGCCGCCTGGCTCGTGCCACTGCCACTGCCAGCAGCAGCAACATCAGCAACACCAACAGCAACAGCAGCAGCAGCAGCAGCAACGCCAACACCAACAGCAACAGCAACGGCAGCAACATGAGCTAACCAAGCATTTCAGTCGGGAAATTTTGCACAAACGCAACGCACGCGGCAGCGGAAAATCGAAAAAGCCAGTTGCCAGCCAGACAGCCGACAAGCGATGAAGTGAAAAGTCGCTGTTGTTTTTGGTCCTTGCTTGCCTGCTTCAGTTAGCCGTGTATCCTCGAACAGTACGAACGTGTGTCCTGTCGAACGGATTTCGAGTTTTTGTATCAACCACCAAAAGACGTAATTGTTGGCGCGGTCTCAAAGCGAAAACATTTCGAAATAATTAGAATAAAGCAAGTCAAAGGAATCCCTTTTAAATTTGGCTAACGGGCAACGAATTCGCGTGGATTTCGTAAAAATGAGAAAATGACAGCAAAACGTGATAAGGATTACTCGAAAAATAAATCAGCACCTGGTAAATTACAACACTTTATCCGATCCGCTACATAAATATATTAAATGCAACTTTAAATCGTAAACTGTTCGAATGAAAATATGCCAGAAAGACAAAATTTAATGCAAATCGTGAACTCTAAACTTTTTAATTAATATTGGTTGAAAAATAGTGTTTTCATAAAAATACGTATCAGTTCAATTGGTTACACCTGCTGTTCAGAACTTCTTTATATCAGAAAAAAATCACCTAGACATACTATCATGTAAAAAGTGTTAGCCAACCAAAAAATGACTCACAGTTTTAAAAGGCTAATAAACAAAGCACGGAATCGCAGAAAAAAGACACCTGTGGCGAAACAAACCAACAAAAAAACACAAAAAACTGTTTTTACATAATAAACATAAAATTCAAAGTGTATTTGTGTTATATTTTGTGTTAAATAAAAAAGTTGTGATTCAGAAGCTTTAAATACAATTCCAACATTACGTCTTAAGGAAATAGTTGACATTGCTTATGATAATTTTTTTTACGGCCTACTTACTGATTTAAGTTTAAAGTGCAATTATCGATAGTGCTGGGTTTTTGGCTTCTATTGATTTTAATCAAATTAAAGGAAATCAATTAACGAACTGAGTGTTTGCTTAATTTATGTTGGTCCCAAGTTCTCAGATGAGAAACTTTATAATGTTGTGCTGTTAGTTGATTGACGGAAAGGTCAATTACAGCAACTTTCGCTTACTAAAATCCCAAACAGTTGCAGTGCAAACTATATTTAGCATTTCTACTTTGATATCCCCTTCAGGCATCGGATTCACCGCCGCCGGCTCAACCAATGGCAGCGGCATAAAGTCCATCGGGCTGGTTAGCTCCACCCAGAATGTGACTTCGTCGCAGGACATCAGCAAGCGGACAAACAAACCACTCATGGAGAAGCGACGGCGGGCGAGGATCAACCAGAGCCTGGCCATCCTGAAGGCCCTCATCCTCGAGTCCACCAAGAGCCAGAACGCCAAGAACGGCGAGGGTCAGGCCAAGCACACCAAGCTGGAGAAGGCGGACATTTTGGAGCTGACCGTTCGCCACTTCCAGAGGCACCGCAATTTAGACGATCCCAGTGAGTATATCTACTCTTACGATATATAAGATATATAAGTTTGGTTTACGTAGTTCAATTAATTTACCTATCAACATATAACAGTGCTTTAAATATTTTAAGAGTTCTAAAAATATTGGGTTATAACGTTTTTTATTGTGTACTTAAATTGTTATTTATTTTGCCAAACAATTTTGATCTTTAACTTATTCAGACCTAGGAATATAGATGCAGGCTAACTCTAGGTCATGGTTGGTTTTATTATTTTTATAATACAAAGTTTTTATGTGACCAGTGACCCCGACTATAATGACTAGAACGTTAATATACTTTGATTTATATGTTCATTAACAGGTCACTAAAGCCCATAAAAAACTAATAATATTGCTAAAGAAGAACTTTCTTAAAAATAATTTTTGTTTTTATAAAGTTTATTTTTATAAAATAAAAAAAAAACTTCCAAACTAGTCAATGTTAAAATATCATAAATTATATTTTAAATGAACTTGATAATTATGATTTGTATTTATTTGGAAAAACCGGTTAAAGATCTGATTTAAATGCATTGTTAATTTTTAACTAACGGTTAGCATATATATTACCCTCCCTCACAGCGGTTAACAAATACCGAGCGGGCTACACGGACTGTGCCCGCGAGGTAGCTCGTTACCTGGCCACCCCGGAGCCACCGCCCCTGGGCACCATGCCCACGCTGGCGGAGCCCGGCTCCAAGGCGCGACTGCTGCGGCACTTGGACCAGTGCATCGCCGAGATCGACGTGGAGATCTGTCCCCACTCGACGGCCACCTTTGCGGAGAGTCCCAGCAGCAGCAGCTGCTTCGAACTGAACCACGCGAAGAAGAGCCAGCCGGAGGAGCACTCGCTGGACTATAGCAGTCAGGACTCGAATCCGCTGGACTACAGCAAGGGTCTGAAGTTGGTGGCCACGGAGCAGAGGACCCTGCCACCAACCACGCCAGTGCCGCAGGACGAGAACAACAATCGTGGGATGCTGCAGGCGCAGGCGCAGGCGCAAACACCGATTCCCGTTCAGGTGCAAGGACAGCCACAAAGCCAGCCCTCGCCGCAGGATGCAGTTGCTCCCAGCGAGCTGACCTACGAGGAGGATCGCAACAAGGTGTGCGCCAATGTGCTGGAGCAGTACAAGCAACAGCTGAAGGCGCAGGTGCAGCAGCAGCCCGACGGAACCAACGGAGTCCTCGTCCTGCCGCCCCACTACGTCCAACTGGCGGCCGCTCTGGGCCTGAGTGCCCAGCCCCTGGTGGATCCGATAGCCACTCGTACGGACTTCGAGCGGTTGATCGAGCTGCAGAGGGTGGGGCAGCCCCATTTGGCCGGCAAGCTGAGTCCCAGTTTTCCCGGTGGCCTGGAGGCCGCCCATGTGGCTGCCGCTGCGGCTGCAGCCTATGCCAACAGCATGGCGGTGGCCGCTTCCGCCGGTGCCTCCGTCTCCGCCATGGCCACTTCCGGTACGGTGACGCCGTCGGGTCACCAGGAGAGACCCGCCTCGGTGGCCGCCTCCGTTAGTTCGGGTATCTCGGTGTCGGAACACAAGTCCATGCCCGCCACACAGCAATCATCGCCTCGCTCCGAGAGTGGCATCGGTTCCAATGAGAACGAGGCTCCGGTGGCGAGTCCACGTCCCCAGACCAGCAATGCCGCTAGGCAGGCTTTGAGGCAACGCCAGGAGGAGGAGTACCACTACATGGCCCAGGCGGCGGCTGCAGCGGCGGCAGCAGCAGCAGCAGCAGCTGGACAGGATGAGAGCATGTGGCGGCCCTGGTGAACTGGTGGGTCGGTGGTTCAGAGATCCTATGTACCAAGTATGTAGACTGTTGTGTGTGAATCCAGCCGGAAACCGGCGGTTCACCGGCCCAACTGATCGCCAAGTGGAGGATGATACCTATTGTTATTAGCGCTCGTCGTGTGTAGCTCCTGCTCCTTTCCAAAATGCATTTCCTACCTGTGCCAATGCCCGAGAGACTCTCTACAAGATGGGTTCCAGAGCCAAACAGAGCGACCCCTTCATTTATGTGTGCATTTGTTTTTGCCCTTTGAACTCTGCGTTAAATGTATTTAATTCAATACTAAAGCTAAGATATTTACTAAAAAATGCAATGGTGTTTTGTACATGAGGTTGGATGCGGAAAAAAGTTAACGCCGACACAAAAAATAGTAAGCCATTTAAAAACTTTACTTTAGCTTTTGGATAGTTTTAGTAATTTTATTAGCATGCGATGGGTTTATAAAAGCTGGTTGGTTGCAGAAAAAAAGTTAAGCTTAGTTTTGACAGACACAAAAAATGGCAAGCCATTTAAAAACTCCATTTTCGTTTTTGGATAGTTTTATTAATTTTATTAAGGTATATCCTATAAATACGATATAGATCCTTGCGGAGGTCGAATAAATACTTGAAATATATATTATTTATATAAGTTTTCAAACAAGAAAAGAGTCTTAAGCCTACACATCAGGTTCATGCTTTCTACTTTGATTTCATTGCACTTAGGGATTTGCGAGGCGCCGACTGCCGCTGGCGGGCAAGGAATGTCTGGCCCGAGCCCATCAAGATGGCCAGCTTCGAGTCGATTGCATCGCGCTGGGCATTCACGCCCAACCTGTAGAAGGCGGAGGTCATCAGCTGCTCCTCCATTGCGCTCATCTTGGGCTTTGGCTCCTCCTCGACGAGTTCGGCACTCTTCTCCAGGACACTAGCATCTAGAGCTGGCATTTTAAGAAGTATTTTATACCTACATAATACGTTATCATTTTGTATAACTTACCACTGGCAATTCGCGGATCAATGCTCTTGATCACCTCCTTGGCTTTCTCCACGCATTTCCGGTATTTGGCGTCGTACGCCAGAATTTCCTGCTCACGTGCAGATAAATTAGTTTCCAGTTGGGTCACCTTGCATTGCAGCGAAGTGCTCTGCGTTACCGCTTCCTCCAATTGGAGTGCTGCATGTGCGTAAAGTTATATAAAACAATTGTTTTTTTAAGAAACTTAATATTCACTTACTCTTTTGCTCATTAAGCTCCATTAGCTGTTTGATTTGCTTGCCAAACTCGCTCCTGTGATGAAAGAAAAGTGTTTTTAAATAAAAGAAAAATACAACGATTTTGATATGAATTAAATATTCCTAAATAAATTAAACAGAATTGATAGACAGTTTTAGTTTTAGTTAAGGGAACTAAAATCGAATATAAAAACATATATTTACTCTTTCAAAATGGGATCATCGCTTTGGGAAGCATGCGACAGGGAAAGAATACGCTCATTTGCTGTCTTCAGCTGTTCACGCAAATTCTCGCAGCGTTTGTTGGCATCGTCCAGAAGTTGCTACAGCAAAATTCCTATTAATATAAATGTACAAAGTAATATTATCTCTGATTACTCACTGCCAAAGCCGTCTGGCCACCCTGCCCCTCGCGCAGTGCCTTGTTCTCCGCCTCCAGACGTTGTAGCTTCTCCACTGTGGCCGACGGCTGCAATTCCCGGGAAACGGTGGTGCCTGTTAGTGCCGAATTCGAGGACAGTTGCCCGCACTTCAGCTCATCAACTGTCTCGCGGAGATTGTCGCGCTCCTTGAGCAAACTGTCCTTGGCTCGCTGCAGGGCCAGGTTTTTGCCCTCCAGATTCTTGTTGTCGAACTCCAGCTTAACGTTCTTGCTGCTCTCGCCGTCCAGCTTGGCGTGCAGGTCCTGGATCTCCTTCTTGAACAACTCCACCTGACCTTTAGTGTTGGCATATCGCTTGGCGTCCTCCTCGAACTGAGCATTTTGCTGCACATAGTCGGCGCTTCGCTCCTCCAGAATCTTGACCTGCTTCTTCAGGTCGTTATAGTCCTCTAGCTTCTTTTTGTACGTGTCAAGCTGAGCCTCGCAAATTTTTAGCTTGTCATTGGACTCCCGCAGAACGTCCACCTCGTCTTTGAGTGTTATCACCTCAGCAGAGCTTTTCTGTGGGTAGCAAATCATAAATGAAGCTTTGTTGAAGTACGTTTTATTTCAAATAGGTATCCATACCATAAGTTCATCGATGCGCATTTGCATGTGCAGCAGATCGGTGTCCTGTTGCTGGGTCTTAAGTTTCAGATCTTCTCGTGCTCCTTCGGACTGCAGAAGCTCCTCCTTTAAAAGATCCAACTGCCGTCGCAGCTCGTTGTAGCGCACAGATCCAGTTTGGACTGGCCCCAAAGAGACCCCATCGTCACCGATCACCGTGGAATGTTGCTCCAGGCGGGAAAACTCCTGCTGCAGCTTCTGCAACTCCTGCTGTAGATTGGTCTTCTCATCGATCAGCAGCAGCATTTTCTTCTCGGTCTCAAAGCATTTCTGTGCCATGGCGTCGCGCTCCTCCTGCCCCATTTTGGAGTCCAGGATTCCGCTGATGGAGCTGCGCGGCAGGGAGCTGGCCACTCCACCCTCCGGCGTGGAGGCTTGTCTCGTGGCCTCCAGTTCCTGCAATGCGCGCATGATGTTCGCCTGCAGTTCCTCCTCCAGGCACATGATCTCTGTGATGTAGGACTGCTTCTTGGCACAGTTGACGGCGCACCCGAGGACCAGCTGCAGCAGACGCTCCAGCTCGCCCAGGTCGCATTTCTCGGCAATTCGCTGCAGATCCGGTTTGGAGAAGTCACTAAGCGAATAGTTGAGCACCTCGCTGTAGTAGTCGTACACCGACTGGGTGACCTTCTTCAGGTTGCTCATCCGCAGCCGCCAGTTGCTGCCCACGGCACTGGCCTTAATCTTGGACAGCCAGGCGTCGGTGAAAGATTCTGGGGCGAACTGATTCAGCGCCTGGGCCAGAGCCACTCCGTCGGCCAGGGATTCCGCATCTGCGTGCGGCGCATTCAAATTGAGGGTCTTGAACCACTCCAGCAGGCTGTAGTACATCTCGTTCTTGGACGCGGACATGTTGCGGGTCTGAACGAAACGCTAAACGAAACAAAACAAACTAAAAATATTCACAATTTCACAAAAAAGAGAGCTCTCAGCTGATGCACTAAAAACAACAACAGAAATCGAGGGCAGCTATCGATAGACACTGAAATGCACTTGGACTATCGATATCAAATAGCGGTAATAATATTGTAAAATATTTTTATTTATTCAATATTAAAATTTTTCTAATTTTCAAATTTTAATTTTATATTTTAATCATGATTGATGTTGAAGTCGATGGCCATTGCCGAGCCTCGCTCACTGTCCAAAGCCTTTTGCATACATTCCTCCGCCCACTTGAGCTTCTCATCCTGGTCTTTAATCTTATCCACAGGGGTCCAGCTCAAATCGTATTCCAACCTATAGCTGCCCTTAAAGGTCTGGTCAACAGAAAGATTCCATTCCTACAACAAAAATAATTAGATCGGGTTTGTCCGCAAGAGTTTCAAAACAAAACATACTTCCGGTGATAGCATACTAAAATAGTTTTGACCCGATGCCCTTTGGTAAAGATGATAGATTTGCCCGGGTTTTTTGGTGAAATTGCAGGCAGCGCTGTGAAGATCACGGTTGAGATTAGACTCTTTGAGTATGTTCATGGCCTGGGCTTGGAGCATCTTGATCTATTGACGAGATATTAGTGGTTGAAATTTAGTTTAAAAGGATGATTAATCACCTGCTCCATTATAACCCCCAGCTTATGGCAAGTAGTGTGCTTCAATTGTTTGTCTGCATTTTGGATCTGTTGGGCCAGTTCTATGATGTCCTCCTCCTGGTGCATTGAAACACGCATGGGATCCAACTGCGATTGGGGATTCCTTTCGACCAGTTGAGCTGAACAGAGTATAATTTGTTTGTTTACATCACTGCACTTCCATTTACAAAGTAAATTTACCCTTCTTAACAGCTGTGTGATACGTCAATTGGTCCATATTAGCAGCTCTTTTCATCACACGATCAAGAGCATGAATAAAAATAACTAGTCAAACACTAGTAAACAACTAAATTGAATCTACAGACGGCCGAAAACAAATAAACATGTGTTCGATTTGTTGATATTTCTCACACAACCATCGATTGCTCCATCCACTATCGGTAACTATCGATTGCAGCTGTATTTTTGCACGACCACCTTTAGGCCATACCTAAAGAAAGAAGAAGCAGACCAAATTGTAGTTGTATTTTTTAGTGCTAGCGAAATTGTGAATTTTGGCCAATAAATATCAAATTGTAATGTGCCAGAGAGACTCGACGATTCGTGCGTTGGCGGCGTGTTAGAATAGTGCGAGAAACGATTCGCGTTCGAGTGAACTATGACCCCTTTTGGCCGCCGTAGCAACGGTGCCCCTGCATTTTAGCGAAAGGAAACACTTAATGCCCAATAAAAAGCGCACGCGCGCATAAAATGCACCATTAAAGGCCACAGAACTTAAAGTTTTTCAGAGCAAACAGCTGGGAGCAGCGAGAGTATCACAAATTGCATTGGTAAGCCCAAAAGCCATGCCCCCAATCATCATTTTTCACCATACCCGATTTTGCTTATGTACATATATGCATATATATACGCGATATAAGCGATGTCAAAACGGACGTGAGTGTGAGTGCTTGGACTTTCGTAAACAACACATGCGGGTCAATTATTTGAATGAATTTTGTTAGTTGACTAAAAATTCCCAGCTCTTGGCCTTTATCAGTGGAGTGATGAGGAATCGGAATCCCAGTCGCTACATATGTATGTACATCTGTCTTATCGGCATGCGTCATACAACGAGCCACTCTGGGCTGCACCCGCACCACAGAACTCGGACTCCCTGAAACACCGAGGCACTGGCGATCGGAAAGGCCACGCATATCTTGAATTTAAATACCATTTCCCCTCCGCCGAACGCCCAGCATGTAAACACCCAAAAACAATTGGTGGGGCCATAGATATCCCTTGTTAAGTTCCCGAAAAAGTGCTACAATATATATCAAACCTGGAAATAAGAATTTATATTTTTTTTGTTATTTTTTAAAGTGTTTTTAAGCATTGAAAGACGTCTGTGGCAACCCCCTTTTTAGTCATGCGCTGACGAGGGCGCCTGTTAGTTGACCCAATTATCAGCCAGGTCCCATCAAACTCCGCACCCCGAGTAATGTCAAATGTCACATTTATGCTATGCTATCCTTTATCCTTGCAGGCTGAAACGGAATTACATAAATCGAGCCAACCAAGCGCCATGCGAGCCTCCATTCCGCCTGGCATTCGAGTGGTGCGCGGACCCAATTGGATCTGGTCGAATCAAGGTAAGAACGCAACGACGAGGCTGCCACGGGCCAACTTGTTTACCCACCTCCAAAGGGGCGAATTAACTTGCCATCCGCTCTCTGTTTATAAATACGTGTGTTTTTGTTAGAAAGTATAAACTGAAATCGGCGTACGGTAGAGATTAGTCGGGGAAACTCAGCTACTTAAGCGTAAAGTTCAAATATATTGGGAATGCCAATGTCTTCTCATATTTAATCTTAATGTCATTAGTTTTAGACTTACAAGGAAATTCCAATATTATACACTTGTATAATTTTAAGGTTATTAATTTCTAAAAAAATTTAATTAACTTTACTATTATCTCAAAATGCAAAAGTAAATGCCAGTGAAATTTTTCATATCCTATTAAATATCAGAATCAGTTATATTCACTTTGTGTTTGCTGACAAATGTTATAAAATGTTCAATAACTATTTCGCAACTGAATAATTTCAGAATCGCAGTTTGATTGACCTGTACATTAAGTACTCAAAAAATGTGTTTTTGAAGGGAATTGTTTTGTTACCGATACTTACTGTATACCCGAAACTGAACTCACTTGGCATTGGCACCCGTGGCTGGACGGGGAGGGGGCATTGCGGGCGGTGGCGGTACGGAGAGGTGTACGCCCGTGTCCGTTGCTGCTACTCGGGGCGTTGTTGTATGTAAAGAGGACGCGCCTCGCTATTTTTAGCAACACTCACTGCGGCAGCAGCGAAATTCTTGCGCTTACCAATTGCTTCTGCGTTCGTCGCTTCGTTTTATGGTTCATACATATATGGCGGGGATGTGTGGTTCTCGATAGTACATATACACTATAGCACCCTACGTGGCAGGTAAATATGCCCGTAGGCAGCTGCCCGCGGAACAATAATATTGCGTAGTTTTTAATTGAATTAATTGTCGTTAGCTGGAAATAATTCGTAAAGTGAACAATTAGATGGTAAATTTCACAGCTAAAAAGCTAAATAAAACGCCTGCAGTTTACCTCTTAATTTAAAAGCCCAAATTTAAGTCTTTATTTTACAACGTTGCAAATATGTTGTTAGATTTTATTACCATGTATATTTAATGGACCAAAAACGTTCCATTTTTTTAAACACATTTCAAATATGAATTATTAATCAAACATTTGTTAGATACTAGCTAATAAAAATGCTATAGTTCCAAAAATGTAATGTAATTATTAAAACAGAAAATATTTGAATATCGTTTTAGTAATATAAATTAAAAAACCAACAATTATTTAAAATAATAAAAACTGTTTTTTTTAACTATATTTATCATATATTTATTATTTATCAAATATATTTAATTTTATTACCACTAACAAATAAGTTAAATATATTGTAGTTAAAGCTTAAAATTGATAAAGGTTTTTATATTTATATATCAGTCTAAACTACTTTTTTTTTTACCATTATACCCAGTATACAATCCACAAGTGCTGGGTGTTCATAAAAAATATTTTGCTGAGTAATACTTGAGCCTATTGAAGGCTCCAACTGCAGCTGCACATGGCTGCTGTAAATGCACACACGGATTAGGTCATGGTATGTGTTCCTCCCTTCTCCTTGGAAAAATAAGCCTGTGGCATATGTCTGGCTAACACATGAGGCGGCAAGGGCGCGTGCCATTTTGTCTCCAACCTTTTTGGAGTGTTTATTTTTAGGCACCGGGTAGAGATCGCGGGTTCTTAGTTCCAGCGTGCCTGCAGATTGGGGAGAATGTGGAGAGTTTATTTTAGGGCCTTGGTGTTCCTTTTGCTGGGGAGTGTTGAAAATAGACATAAACAAAAGTTTCAGACGGGAGCAGCACCGATGGCTGTGGTGCTCCCATTCCGCCCCAGGCCAACATCAAATGTCACCCTCTAGAGAACGTTTTCACATCCCCCCACCCGTGTTTTGGGGTAATTATAGAGCAGCTGCACGTCCGAGTTTGAGTGCATAACTAAAAGCCGCTTGGAGCCCGAGCCAGAGTCAATGATTGTGGGTATTTATAGTCATGGCGCGTTGTTTATGAGGGGGAAGTGTGCGCCACAGATGTCTGATATCCACCGGATGTTGATGTGGATGTGGATGTAGATGTAGATGTGCATACAATGCAAGAAGGAGCCTGGCTGCAACTACATAGAATCTGAATCTGAACCTCATCTAAACCGACTCACATCACAACGCTTCCAACTTTGTTTCATTGCTTACGCAACAGACGACGGAGAAGGTCACGTTGGAACCGTTTGCGAAATCGGACGTTGCGGATCAACACACTCGCCGGAAAACACTGTCGTGGTCAACTGGGATTCCGGACACCGGACCAACTACCGGGTGGGCTATCAAAACCAGTACGACTTGATAATTGTGGATAATGCTCAAGTTGGTAAGTAAAAATGTGTTCATTCAAGTTTATCAGATTTATATGTATGATTTTTTGAAATACTAACACAGTAAAAGCTTTAATTATATACAAATTCTTTAAATAATAATTACAATTCAAAAGTAATTATCTATAATTTAGATATGCTTAACATTGCAATCATTTATCCGCAGGAGTTCGTCACTCGAATGTCGTCTGCGATGGCTGTTCCAAGGCGGGCATTGCCGGCATAGTATTCAAGTGCGCCCAGTGTGCCAACTACCACCTCTGCGCCTACTGCTACGCAGAGGATCTGCACGACGTGGAGCACCCGTTTGTCCGCTACACCTCGCCCAACTCACTGGGCGTCCGAGTGCCAACGAGAAAGGGCTCCAAGCGCATCCAGCTGCGGGGCATCTTCGTGGGATCCAAGGTGGTGCGCGGTCCGGACTGGGAGTGGAGCGAACAGGACGGCGGCGAGGGCAAGACGGGGCGGGTAATGGAAATCCGGGGCTGGGACAACGAATCGTGTCGCAGCGTGGCCAACGTATCGTGGGTAACCGGATCGACGAACGTCTACCGTCTGGGCCACAAGGGCAACGTGGATCTGAAGTACATAACTGCTACGTGCGGCGGCCACTACTACAAGGACCACATGCCTGTGCTGGGGCAGCCGGAGGAGTTGCAGCCGGTGGCGCCGATGGTGAAGCCAAGCTTCTCTGTGGGCGACCGCGTCAAGGTGTGCCTGGAGGTGGATGCCCTGATGAAACTGCAGCAGGGCCATGGAGGATGGAATCCGCGCATGGTCGAGCATTTATCCAAACTGGGCACTGTGCATCGCATCACGGACAAGGGCGACATACGGTGAGCAACTGGCATACATCTAAATTTATTTGACTCTCTAACCCAGTTCAAAATTCAACAGTGTCCAGTATGAGAACTGTCCCAATCGATGGACCTTCCATCCCGCCGCCCTCGTAAAGGTTGTCTCTTTTCGTGTCGGTGATCTGGTCACCATTATCAACGATGCCAACAAGGTGCAGCAGCTGCAGAAGGGCCACGGCGAATGGATCGAAATCATGCGACACGTAAGTGAAGATTCCATAACAAATACATTTGATATTAACTTTAAAATTGTAATATAATATTAAATGAATCCATCAGGCCCTTGGGAAGATTTGCAAGGTTGTGAAGGTGTACTCGGACGGCGACTTGCGTATTCAGCAGCTGGACGACGGCTTCGAATGGACGCTGAACCCGAAATGTGTCAAACTGGAGCGTTCGCCGCTGGCCACGGCCGCTGAACGCTCCAACAGCATGATGGATCTGAGCCATCGGCGAGCGGACCACGTCATGACACCGCTTTCGGGGCTCTCGGGCAGCTCGGTGGCGGACAAACTGGTGCGAGAGGCCGCCCAGGGACATTTGGACTTCGTGCGTCAGTATTTGGACGTGAATCCCGGCCAGGTGGACGTGATGAGTGGCGGAAAGGCCTGCATTCAGGTCGCCTCGCACCAGGGCTACGTCGACCTTGTCAGCTACCTCATCTCGAAGGGTGCCAATGTGAATGCGGTTGACAAGGAGGGCGACTCTGCCCTGCATTACGCAGCCTTTGGCAATCAGCCGGCCACGATGCGTGTGCTGCTGCAGCACGGAGCCGAGGTGAACTTCCTCAATTCGAGCCACTGCTCCGCTCTGCACATCTGCGCGCACAAGAAAACGCCACACTGCGTCCGCGAGCTGCTGCAGCATAACGCCAACGTGAACATCCAGGACTCGTACGGTGATACGGCGCTCCACGACGCCATCGGCAAGGAGAACACGGAGGTGGTGGAGTTGCTTTGCAATGCCCCCAACCTGGACTTTACGGTCAAGAACAATCGCGGCTTCAATGTGCTCCATCATGCAGCGCTCAAGGGCAATGTGGTGGCCGCCCGCCGCATCCTGCTGCTCTCGCGCCAGCTGGTCAATGTGCGCAAGGACGATGGCTTTGCGGCCCTTCACTTGGCCGCCCTTAACGGCCATGCGCAGGTTGTGGAAACGCTGGTCACCGAGGGACAAGCGGAGCTGGACATACGCAACAATCGCCGGCAGACGCCCTTCCTACTGGCCGTCTCACAGGGTCATGCCGGGGTGATCGAGCGACTAGTGCGCCTCTCCTGCGACGTGAATGCCAAGGATGAGGATGGCGATAATGCCATGCATCTGTGCGTGATCAAGAAGTCCAATCTGCAGTCCGCAGCCGAACCGCAGCCCGAGGAGGCACCTGAGATCCACAAGTTTTACCTGAGTCTAGTGGAGACGAGCGTGCGGGCCGAGGATCGCCTGATGTACAGCATCCTGATCTATCTTTCGAGGGCCGGCTGCCGAGTGGAGCTGAACAACGCCAATGCGAGTATTTTCGAGTGGATTACGGACCTAAACATCAGGAAGCTGATCTTCGGGCAGCAGGGCGAAGTAGAAACACTGCCCAGGAACCTCCAAGCCTTGGAAATGTCTGCACCCGCTGCCTCCGGCGAGGATGCGCCAACCGTGGCTGGAGCAGAATCCAATGGAGCTGGTCCAGCAGTAGCGGCACCGATGCCACCGCAGCGCCAGCAACTGGATCTAATGCCAAAGCCAAACGAAATACCATCCGCTTCATCAGCAGCTGCCGCTCCATCGACGCCCTCGGCCTCGCCGGGCGTGAAGAAACTGAACTCGGACGCAGTGCAGCAGAATGTCTCGCCGCAGGTGGCGCCGCGCAAGAAGGCGCCCAAGCCGCCGGTGACCTCAAGCTCGAGCAGCACAGCGTTGGAGGCCGGAGCGGCGGGCCTGGGCCCAAGTCCGGTGATCGTGTCCGGTCCCCAGGAGTGCATCGTGTGCAATGAGATCCTGCAGCTGGTGCGCTTTGAGCCGTGCCAGCACCAGATCGCCTGCGAGGAGTGCGGCATCCGGATGAAGAAGTGTCTGCGCTGCGGCGTGGTTATCGAGCGGCGTCTGACCGCCAGCGGGCGGATAGTGGCCCTGCCCACGTCCACGTCCTCACCGAGTGACCCCACACGACTGCCGTCCGGGGATCTGCTGCGCTACCTGGAGAACAAGGTGCAGGAGTTCGAGGAGTCGCACTTCTGCGGCATCTGCATGGAACGCAAGCGGGACGTGGCCTTCCTCTGCGGCCACGGAGCTTGCTCCCACTGCGCCGAAACGCTCCGCACATGCCACATGTGTCGCAAGACAATACTCAAGAAGATCAACCTGTACTGAGCGGCGGAAACGGAAACGGATACGGATACGACAGGAGGATCGGATCATCAGCAATTCAACCAGCAACCAAAGTGGCTTGTATATATACACATACACAAAATCAACACTGAAAACACAACCAACACACACCCAAACCCACACCCACATTGCCGTGTCATGTGCAACTCGAACTATTTATTTATTGAACACCGACGACGAAATTGAAGCGCTCTTTTTGTAACGGTTTATCAACGGCATCGTATACATAAACAATTTATTGTGCACCCTTCACGTGTCTAGTTATTAGCCTCGTTTAACCATGTCTGGTAACGATAAAAACAAATAGGAAACAAACTAAATGCATAAAGATATTTAATAGTCATTTAATTGCAAATATACAAATATAAAACATAAATTCAAATGGATGCTTTTTAGTGGATGGCGGTTTCTTTTAAACTTTTCCGGAAATTAGTAATATTATTGCACTGGAAAAGGTTATCTAATCATGAGTTTTAAGAAAATTCTATGCCTTGGTCTTATTATATTTGTTTTTCCTTCTTAGAAGGTAAAATGTACCTAAATATGACTAGGTACAGGTACAAATGCTAAGGTGAACTGCTGCAGCATGGTGTGAAATGCTTACTTTACATAGTGTTACCTGTGTTATTTTTTTTAATGATTAACCGTTTTTTTATTGTTTAATTCATGTATATATACAGGGAATAATAAACAAACAGCCAAAGTAAAACAAATCACAGGGAAACCAAAACATGATGCTCCTATTTTTTTAAGAAAAACAATCGATAAATGCCGCAACTCTCGGTCATCGATAACTACGCAGCAAGAAAAAAACCAAACACGTCACAACACTTTGGCCGCAGTCCCACGCGTAATAAGAGATTAGGACAAAATGGCCAAACAAGTGTCCGATTTCCAGGGCAGCAAGATGCAGTTCTACCAGAAGCTGGCCCTGGCCCTTATCCTTGGAGCTGTGCTCCTCTCCCTGCCAGCCTTATGCGCCGGCCAGGGCAATCCCAGTTTCAAATACTCGCGGGAAGCCAACGAAAACTTTGATCCGGCAAAGGCTCCGCGGGCGGAGCACCATCACGACCACGATCATGATCATGATCATGATCATGGGCATGGGCATCACGACCACGATCATCACCATCATCATCACGACCATGATCATCACCATCATGACCACGATCATGGGCACCACCATCACGGAGAAAGCCACACCAAGTCAAAGCCGGCATTGGGTATGTAACTAGTTCCCATATATCAAATACCCAAGCTGACCCCGTTTTCTTATAGATATGAGCACCATTTGGCTGCACTCCATCGGTTCCACGCTGCTTATCAGTGCCGCTCCCTTTGTGCTGCTCTACATCATTCCCCTCGACAACAGTGAGGCTATGAAGCCGCGTCTCAAAGTTCTCCTGGCCTTCGCATCCGGCGGCCTGCTGGGCGATGCCTTCCTGCACTTAATTCCGCACGCCACACACCCTCATAGCCACGGAGAAGACGACCATGGCCACGACCATCACCATCACCATCATCACGAGGGCGAAGAGGATGGTCACGGACATAGCCACGACATGAGTGTTGGTCTGTGGGTTCTGGGCGGCATCATTGCCTTCCTGTCGGTGGAGAAACTGGTACGCATCCTTAAGGGCGGTCAAGGAGGACATGGACATAGCCATGGAGCCCCAAAACCCAAACCCGTGGCTCCCAAAAAGAAGTCTTCGGACAAGGAAGACAGCGGAGATGGAGATAAGCCTACAAAGCAGCCCAAGGCCAAGTCAAAGAAACCAGAACCCGAGCCGGAGGGCGAAGTGGAGATATCCGGCTACTTGAACCTGGCGGCCGACTTTGCCCACAACTTCACCGACGGTCTGGCCATCGGTGCCTCCTACTTGGCGGGCAACAGCATTGGTATTGTAACCACCATCACCATTCTGCTGCACGAAGTGCCCCACGAGATTGGCGACTTCGCCATCCTGATCAAGTCGGGATGCTCGAGGCGCAAGGCAATGCTCCTGCAGCTGGTCACCGCCCTCGGAGCGCTGGCGGGCACAGCTCTGGCCCTTTTGGGAGCCGGAAGCGGTGACGGATCGGCGCCATGGGTTCTGCCCTTTACCGCCGGCGGTTTCATTTACATTGCCACGGTGAGCGTGCTGCCGGAGCTGCTGGAGGAGTCCACTAAGCTGAAACAGTCGCTGAAGGAGATCTTCGCACTGCTCACCGGCGTAGGCCTAATGATTGTCATCGCCAAGTTCGAGTAGTTCCCAGCGTTGGGTGGGTTTATGCAGAAAATAGTTCTAATCGAGCGGGCTGAAGGGAAAGAGTATACAATTTAAGATATTCAATCCCCGCGATTATTTCTCAACATAATCGAGGCAGCGTTATTTAAGAGTTTTAAAGCCTTCAAAATTTGCGCTTTACTTTGAAATGAAATTTTTATAAATAGTCAAAAATACATTGTAAAAAGAAAACCTCACTGCCGCTTTTCCCCATTCAGTGTGGTTTTGATCTCGTTGAGGCAATACTCGGCCTGCTCGACGGCATCGGGATTCTGGTGCTGCTTGCCCAACTTCCACGCCAATTTGCAGGCTTCCTCCGCCTGTTTCATCAGACCTTCGCGCAGACACACCAGACCGAGATTGGCCTGCAGGATGCCCTCCTGGGTGGCGTCCTTCAACTCTTTGGTCAGTTCCACCGCCTGCATAAGGGTCTCCTTTGCTTCGGTGTACTTTTCCAGCTGAAAGATATCCGATTATTTATGTATTTCCAAAGAGAGAGCTAGCAGGACCTACGTTCACATACGCCACGCTAATGTTGTTCAGGATGGTCACAGAGGCGTCGTTGACAGCACCGTAAACATCGATTAGCGTGTCGAAGGCCTCCTTGAAGAGGTTCTTGGCCTCCAGGTACTTGCCCTGCTTCATCAGCAGCTGGCCAAACCTGAAAAGATACGCATGAAGAAACCCATTGACTGGAACTGCAACTGTGTGCTGGGTAGCGGCAATGGAAACACCTTCAATACCAATTCTTTGTCAGGCCATAAAGCTCCAGGACGTCCTTGTCGTCGGGCATTTTCTCCAGGAGTTTGGCCAACTGTTTCAGCGTCCAGGTGAAACCCTGGAAACTCTTCTCCAGGTCACCCTGCAGCTGGGACATGTGCGCTATCTTGGAGCTGATGTGGAGTATCTGAAGAAGATGAAGGTGATCTTAACTGGAGTAGGATTCAAAGGGGCTCACTCACCTTGGGACTTTCTTCGGTGTGGCCATCGGCAAAGAGGCGCTTCATCACGTCCGTGAAGATCTTTTCCGCCTTCTTAAACTGCTCCCGCTCCATGGCCAAATTGGCCATCAGATCAAACACATACGTGATGCCGTCCTTGTTTTGAATATCCTGGGCCATTCGCAGGGCCAGGTGGAGCATCTGCTCGGCCTTATCGTACTGTTCCCTCTGGATGCAGAGGATCGATCGCTTTATGGTCTTCACTAGCTTGTCCTCCGGAGTCTCCTCCTTTTCGTCGCCGCCTCCAAAGAGATTGAACGTAAAGGCAGCTGAGAAGGCCCAGATCATTCCGCCTGAAGAACTTGGAGCAGGTGGAGCTATCAAGGACACCTGGCTATCTGCAGAATAGCGGCACAGCGATCGTGATCCTGATCCAAATCCCGACCGTTGGGTGGTTCGCTTCAGAGGCGCCGAGTGACAGAATTCCCTGGGATTTGGGACAAGCCGGAGCCTGCCCATTACTTGGCTCAGTTTACAAATGTTTTTCACAATCATATTTTTAGGGCTTAATTCATTTTATAGCTAAACTATGCAGGTGTTTTAAAAACTTGTTTTTCTTTAATTTATTATTATGAAATGCGCTGCAGTGTTGCAAAGCGCGGAATAAGTGATTTAAACATGCATTTTTAACGTTTGCAAATGTATTGCTATGAGCTACAATTCATATAACTCTGTTTTTGAAATATTTTAATTTAAATAATATTTATTATTTAAAATTATTTATTATTAAAAAGATTATCAGTGATGGACAAACGTACAAATGTTTTCTTATCAGATATTGTCATAACTTAAGTAACTGTTAAAAAAATATATACATATTTTAATTTTTATGAGAGGTATAATTTAAAAAAATTCCATTTTATTTATATTTTAAAATTGTATTATTTTATTTCCACTCACTGTTGGCATTCGATAGTTACCCTGCCAAAACTATCGATATCCACGACACGGACGATAGTCCGCCCCATCCACTTTGGCCCAAAGCAACCCTGTACTGCATATTGATGGCGGATTGACGCTCTTTTGCTAGCTAAATAAATTTTCTGATCGAGAAAAGGTGCATGAAAGGACGAGGAGTGAACTCTAATAGCAGTGCATGAAATAGTTGTGGGTCCGCCGGCGTTACCTACGTTTTATTTCAGATCTTTCCAGTGTAGCTCAGCGCGTGGCCATCGTTTTTCGCCATGAGACGGCGCAGCGAGCGAAAAAAGTCGTCGTCGCCCGCTCCGGTGCCGGTGGCACGGCGAAGTCGCCGCTCCCGCAAGGTGTCCGAAAACGAGAAGACGGAGGACGAGACCACTGGCCAAAAGGAGACCTCGGACACACCCACTGAGAACATCGGACAGGCTGAAATGGCACAAGCCTCTGCCGCGCGCTCCGAAGAAATCAATGACGGGCGCGCCTCGAGCGAGGAACGTGCCGGATCCGGAGCATCGCCAGTGCGCAAGAGTCGCGGCAGCCGGACGACGCCTAAGAAGCGCGCGGAGGCCAAGGGCGGCGACAAGAACAAGGCGGTGGACACCATCCCCGAGGAGGAGCCGGAGAACGGCCAGGATGTGGCCAAGGACAGTGTGCAGGAGGTGGAAACTGCAGTGGAGCCGCCAGCAAAGGCTCAGGATAGCGAGCCCGAAGAGCTTGCCAAAAAGGAGGATCAGCCGGCTTCAGCCCCAGAAGAATCCCAGCCAGAACCCACTGTTGCCAAGGATACAGAAGCTGAGAAAGAGGAGGATAAACCCCAGCAGGACGCCCAAGCTGCCGAGGATGACAGCAGCAAGCAGAGCGAACCAATTCAAGAGGTAAAAGTTCCTTCTCCTTCCAGTAAGGATGAGGAACATCTAAAAACGTCTAGCGATGTATTAGACATTCAGACAGAAGAGGTCGAGGAAAGGGACGAAGACGCCCCAGCTCCAGCGGAGCGCAGAGAGTCCAAGAAGAAACACAAGGAGCAGAAACAGGAACAGCAGGCCAAGGAGGAGGAGGAGGAGCAGAAGGAGAACCGCAAGCAGCAGGAGGAAAAACCAGAACAAATTCAGGATGAATCAGCAGATCTTCCGAACGACAAGCACGAGACAACCGTAAACAGCAGCGCAACCAACACAACCACCGCTCCAGCACTCCAGCAGCAGCGTTCGGTGAGGAAGCGCAAATGGCTGACGAACAAAAAGTCCTTGGATCGGGCCCCACCAGTGCTTGCCATTTCGACGGATTCCCTGAAGAACATTATAGCCGACGTGGTGCAGCCGGTGCCCCTCAGCGATGTGCAACTAGAATCCTCTTCGGAGGAGGAGGGCCTGGTCACCAGCGATCGGGAGTCGGATCGATCCGGTTCGCCGATGCCAGCCTCCGAGGCGCGCAAGGAACGCGAAACCGACGCCATTACCGCAACAACCTGCGACACCGGCGTAGAGGTGACGACAGACAAGGAAGGCGCAGGAGCCACTGGGCGGACCACTCCCACGCCAGCCGCAGACACGGTGCCGGCGCAGGGCGGCCAGAGCAAAGCCACAGCCGCCACGGCCGCACCACACATCGTCCGCTCTCCTAGTCCTGCGCGCAACCGCGCCAGCCATGTGCTCTACATCACCAACCTGGTGCGCCCCTTTACGGTGTTGCAGCTAAAAGGCCTGCTGGCGCGGACGGGAAAGATCGTCGATGAAGATGGTTTTTGGATAGATCGCATCAAGTCTAAGTGCTTCGTTGCCTACTCTACTGAAGAGTAAGTATATTTTCTTAATTTCAGTACACCTGCATCAGAAGGGTTTTTAAAGTCTTTAACAAATAATGACCATAATATATTAAAAATGATTATAACACTGATAATTTTATTAATAACATTGTAGCGAGGCTATTGAAACCCGCCATGCCCTGCACGGAGTTCGTTGGCCAGTCTCGAATCCGAAATGTTTGAACGTGGATTTCGGCAGTCGCACAGACATGGATCGTGCGATACTTTCAACGAAAGACGAGGCTCCAAGGTATGGTCAGGAAAACACCAGAGATAACCAGCAGTCGGGCAACGCTTGGTCCCGATTGGAACCGTCGGACAAAAAGGTGAAAGATTGTTGTCATAACAACATAACAACGGCCAGTTAATTTGTCATTTTACCGTGCAGCCTGTGCGCCCAGTACGCGAATGGGATGTGGGCAAAAAGGAGCCAAGCGACCACGACAAAATCAGCAACGACAGACGTCGGGGGAGCAAGGATCGACTGGACTCGAGATCTCGGGACGCGGAACGCCCCGGACAGGAACGCAAACGCTCTAGGGACAAAGAGGGGCGAGGACGCGACCGGGAGCGGGACCGCAACGACCGCAATGCACACGCAAGAAGCCGCAGTGGATCACCAGGTAAGCTACACTTCGAGAAGGTATGGGCCATGATTAACAATGCCAATTTCTGTAAATAGCGCCCAAAACTAAAAGGAAGGAGAATGAGCCGCCTATCAGGCTATTAGATGATCTATTTCGTAAGACTAAGGGAACGCCTTGCATCTACTGGCTGCCGCTGACGCCGGAAGCTGTAAGTTGGAAAACTAACTTTGAATTGAGAAATAATATAGCATTGCTAAAATGGGTAACCTATTCCTTACAGATCGCTGAAAAGGAGGCATTCCGTCAGAAACGCATCGAGGAGCATAAGCTGCGCATAAAGGAAAGGGAGGATCGTCAGAAGGAGCGTGAGAAGGATCGCGACCGCCAGCGCGACACACGTCGCAATCGTTCCAATGAACGGAGACGATCACGCAGTCGCGAGCGCGAGCGACGACGTTACTAGGCGGAGGCTTGAGATTGAGCAAATAAACGTTGAAAATATCTCAAAAACTAACATCAACATCCACAAGAAAACCCGAAAATGATAAACAGCAACTAAAACTTCTGCAGGGTTCCATTACCACCCAAATAATTTCCATTTTTCGAACGTTTTGCGTTCCCAAATATAACGACGTTGTAATATTCAACTTGAAGTGAAGACACTTCGATTTGAATATTTCCTTCAACGTCAATATCCATATTCTAATTTTGAGATTTCAAATTCTCTTTTCTACGTTATTTTTCTCATAGTTGTTGTTTCATATATACCGCATATATATTACATATATATATATCTATAACCTGATTTGATTTCTTTCCTCAAATGTAGCATTTTACAGCGCCTAACGTCACCTCACCCCAAAAAACAACCACAGCCCCCCAACAACCAGCGACGCCAGAAATGCGCCGGCATCACCGTCAACGCAATGGAACCTTACCGTCGGAATCTAGAAACTCTTGCAGCAAGTTTCAAGCTTACATCTATATATTAAACAAACAGAAAATTGATCAATTGTAAAATCAATGTTTCTTAAAATTTTAATGAACTTAGAAATACAATTTAACAACAGTCGGCAAGCTTGTGACAATGCCAAAACCATAAATGTGTTTTAAATGTCTGAGAAATAAACATTAATTCCGCTCGACTCTTATAAAATTGTTTGTTTCTATATATTCCATAGCACTAAATTTCTTTTAATTAATTTATACGGTTTTATTGAATTCCCCAAACATTTTGTTACTTTTTTGTGTGACATTTTTTTGTAAAAATACTTTATTATTATTTTTTTAACTTAAAACAAAAAGATCAACTAATAAATAACTAAAAATTAAAAGAATACCGCTATTAAAATATGACTTTTCGATAGTTATCGAACTGTCTAAAAAAGTATGTCACTTGTGATATCGATATGTTTTAGTTTTTATTAACATTAATTTAGTGAAAAAATGTGGTCCGACACAATTTTAATTGTATTTATATCGGTGTGCACCGCTTTCCTGGGTGAAGGTGAGTGAAAATCCAACTTAATTGCGAAGATTAACCATTTGCTTTTTAAGGACTCACCTGGGTGCTGGTTTACCGGACGGAAAAGTACCAAAAACTGAAGACCGAGGTGGAAAAGCAGAGCAAAAAGCGTAAGTTGGTCAAAAGGGTATATCCGGATGGTCACGAGGTTACACCTGTATTTTCTTGCAGTGGAGCGCCGGAAGGAGATCCATGGCGACTCCCTGGACAAGGCGGTGAAGAAGAAGATCGAGCGGGACGAGGAGAAACTGAAGAACAACAACCGCGACCTGTCGCTGGTCAAGATGAAGTCCATGTTCGCCACGGGCTTTGCCTTCACCGCTTTGTTGAGCATGTTCAATAGCATCTTTGACGGCCGGGTCGTCGCCCAGCTGCCCTTCACGCCCATCTCCTGGATCCAGGGCCTGAGCCACCGGAATCTGTCTGGCGACGACTACACGGACTGCTCCTTCATCTTCCTCTACATCCTGTGCACCATGTCCATTCGCCAGAACATTCAGAAGCTTCTGGGCTTTGCGCCATCGCGTGCCGCCAGCAAGCAGGGAGTGGGTCTTTTTGGTCCTGCTCCCGGCCAGTTCAAATAGGAAATTCACAATTAATTAAATTAGCTGCATTTAGTCTTTAATGCACCATCAACAACAATGCTAGCTTAAAACATTATTCAACTCGTACATGGGTTGGTCCACAATCAGCCTGTCGAAGCTCAGGCGTGAGAGGTCAATGGTCCGGAACTGGCCGTCCATGATCAGCTCGGATACGGCGCGTCCCACGGCCAAGGACTGCTGGACTCCATGTCCACTAAAACCAGTGGCAATATACAAGTTGTTGTAGTACGGATGGGCTCCCACAATGCCGTTTTCGTCGTAGACATTCTGATCGTAGCTGCCCGCCCAGCTGTCCACCACTCGGGCTTCTCCCAGCGCGGGAACTCGCTCTGCCAGCTTGGGTCTGATGTGCTGGTCAAAGTACTGCGGGTCCACTGACGAACTATGACTGTCCTCGACCGAATCCTGTCCGCATATGTAGTTGCCACCCAAGCCGTCTCTGCGGATGAAGATGCCCGAAGGATCGATGGTCATGGGCATGCTCATTCCAGGTGCACTTTGAGCCAGTGAGTTGATGGCGTACAAGTAGCGCTTGCGTTCGTCAATGGGCAGGGGAACCCGTAGCACTCCCGAGCCCACTCCTATCTTGGCCAGGCGTGCCACCTCTCCGGATCTGGCGCCGGCTGCTATAACACACAGGGCAAACTTGCAGGTGCGTCGCGTGCCATCGGCCAGCTGGATGACCGCCTTGTCCAGGCCCGTGTAGCTGCCCTCGTCGGAGCCGCCCACCACAGTTATGTCCGTTTGGGACAGGAATTCGAAGTCCACCACCTGGCCACTGACGAAATGCGCACCATAGCCGCTGGCAGAGCGTCTAAAGTTGCTAAGCAGGGCCAAAGGATTGAACCAGCCTTCCTTCTCCAATCCGTGACAGCCCAAGACGATGCCCTTGGTGTTCAGCCAGGGAAACCGGATGGCCAGTCGATCCGACGTCAGCAGTTCATTGCGGGCACCCAGTTCGTTTTGCACCTGGGAGGAGCGCATCAGGCTTTCGGCATGCTCCTCGTCGGCCAGCATCAGGTGACCATGGGGCGTGAATTGCAGGGGCACGTCCTCGCCAAAGTGCTTCTTGGCACCTCTCAAAAACTCGGCGGCAAAAAGCGACATCTGGATATTTTCGGGCAGGGAGAATTGCTGGCAAAGACCGCCCACAGAAACACGAGTGGCAGACTGGGCGTACTGTAATAACCAGGAGGATTAGAGGCTTGTTGGGTATGCGGCATCGAGGATCCACTCACCGTGTCATCCCGCTCGACCACCACCACATTGAGGCCATCGCGAGCCTTCTCCTTTAGCCAGTAAGCGATGGAGCTGCCCACTCCGCCTCCACCAATGATTAGCACATCGCAGTGGGTCTGGAAGTCATCCACCAGCGTGGGATCCTTTTCCCGCTCCCCGGCGAACTGGAACTTTGTCTGGGTCAGGATGCGGTCTTCCTCGGGCTCCGGATCCTTGGGCACAAAGAACTCCTTGACTTTGCGCATATCGTTGCCGAGCAAACGAAGGGTTCGTCGTATTGGATGCAGATCATCTTTGCCGGATTCGTCGTCACCAGGTAATCCACTTCCGGTGTTTGCTGCTCCAGCCGAATAAGTCCGGCGCTGCAGAAGACGCACCACTTGTCTGTATCGTAACATTTTTAGCCTATATATATTATTTTTAATTCACATTCCGTATTTTGGCTCTTATTTTGTAATAGTGATAACGTGCGAATGGAGGCCCAAATTGTTATCGATACAAAAATCGAATTCGAAATATGCCTACCGGCACTTTAACAATTTTGGAGCTTTAATATAAGCAGAAAATCAATAAAACAAATTACCTTAAATAAAATGGTATTTTCTTGTATTTATTGCAATTTTATCCGTATAGGTGTCCTTATAATCTTTAGTTAATTTAACTGTTGTGATGTTCTCACTTTTTAAAGCAACAATACTGAACTTAGTAAACTTTCGCTCAGTGTATTATTATAACACCCAAACCGATAAATGTTAACCGATAGCGATAGATCCGTTGAGCAACCACACTATGCAACACTGTCAGGCAGCCGAAAACGAATAAGAAGAAGCAACATTACTAGGCATTTTTGATTTGGAATTGGAGAAAAAACAAAAGAATAGTCGGCCATAATTGTGACATTAGCAAATTGCGAGTTCTACAACATGACCAACGCAACGGACATCGGTGCCCACGACGTGGAGATGGAAGTGGATCCCACGGCCGAGACGCTGGCGGATGAGAAGAAGAACCAAGATGTGGCCGCAGTGCAGGAGATTCGTGAGCAGATTCGTCAAATCGAGAAGGGGGTGGCCTCCAAGGAGTCGCGGTGAGTGGTTAGAGCCTTACAACCTACTCTGGAGCTCATGGTTTCAATTTCGCCGACAGCTTCATCCTGCGCGTCCTTCGCAATTTGCCCAACACCCGCCGCAAGTTGAACGGCGTTGTCTTTCGCAATCTGGCACAAAGCATCTATCCAGTTGGTGCGGATCGCGAGGCTGCCGTGGCCCTAATGCCCGCCATGGAGAAGGACGCCACCGAACTGCCCGATGTGCCCAAAAAGCAAGTGGCCAGCAAGGCTCCGATTGCCGAAGTCGATGCCTACTTCTACCTACTCCTGCTGGTCAAGTTGATCGATGCCAGCGATCTGAAGCGCGCCGGAACCTGCGCGGATGCTTTGATGGCCAAGATATCCATCCAGAACCGCCGCACCCTGGACCTGATTGGGGCCAAGTCCTACTTCTACTTCTCGCGCGTGGCGGAGCTTAAGAACTCACTGGAGGGCATCCGCGCCTTCCTGCACGCCCGCCTGCGCACCGCCACGCTGCGCAACGACTTCGAGGGTCAGGCTGTGCTGATCAACTGTCTGCTGCGTAACTATTTGCACTACGCTCTGTACGATCAGGCCGACAAGCTGGTGAAGAAGTCCGTCTATCCGGAATCGGCCAGCAACAATGAGTGGGCCCGCTTCCTGTACTATTTGGGTCGCATCAAGGCCGCCAAACTGGAGTACAGCGATGCCCACAAGCATCTGGTCCAGGCGCTGCGCAAGTCACCGCAGCACGCGGCCATCGGCTTCCGCCAGACGGTGCAAAAGCTGATCATCGTGGTGGAGCTGCTGTTGGGCAACATCCCGGAGCGTGTGGTGTTCCGGCAGGCCGGTCTGCGTCAATCCCTGGGCGCCTACTTCCAGCTCACGCAGGCCGTGCGTCTGGGCAACCTGAAGAGGTTCGGCGACGTGGTTTCGCAGTACGGACCTAAATTCCAGCTAGACCACACGTTCACACTGATCATCCGGCTGCGCCACAACGTGATCAAGACTGCGATCCGCTCCATTGGACTCTCGTACTCGCGCATCTCGCCCCAGGACATTGCCAAGCGGCTGATGCTCGACTCTGCCGAGGATGCCGAATTTATCGTGTCGAAGGCCATACGGGATGGAGTGATCGAGGCCACGCTGGACCCGGCCCAGAACTACATGCGCAGCAAGGAGAGCACCGATATCTACAGCACCCGGGAGCCGCAGCTGGCCTTCCACGAGCGCATCTCGTTCTGCCTGAACCTGCACAACCAGAGCGTGAAGGCCATGCGCTATCCTCCGAAGTCGTACGGCAAGGATTTGGAGAGCGCCGAGGAGCGTCGCGAACGGGAGCAGCAGGACCTCGAGCTGGCCAAGGAGATGGCCGAGGACGATGAGGACGGTTTCTAAACGGCGGCTGCTGCTGCAATTCAATATGTATTTGCATTCATTTTTGATAGAAACATAATCCGCAATTAAATAAGTTACAAAATTATAAGTACTCTAATACTCTGGGATCGGCAAGGTGCTATTTTATTAATTTTGTTGAAGTTTTCGAGACGGAACAAGTTAACAAGAAATATGTATTAAATCTATTTTAAATTTTTAAGAGTAGAGACGTCTGGCAGCCCTGGCGCGCATATATGAAACAGTACGGCTAGCGGTTTATGGACATTTTCTGCTGGTGTATTTCGTCCACCGATGTCAACGGTCACACTGGCGCAAACAACACAAACAGCAGCCACGGTCACACCGAGACAAAGTGGAAGGGAAATAGAAAATTTGATTTTGACAAAAAGTGCACACAATGCAAACGAATTAGAGTGCGTGCACGCTTTGAATGCCCAAATCCGCGAGACGCCCACGCTGACGTAGCAACAATTGTCGCCGGAAAAAGGGAGAGCGCGCGTTGCGAGGAATATCGCGGAAATTGCAGAATTTTTGGCAGCGGCGAGTAGTCTCCCCCGAATAACAGCGGCCCAACGAGAATAGCGGCGAGTGTTTTGCGAAGCAGCGAGTGCCTGGCCAATGTGGTGCAGCCCCCTGCTGCCCGCCGCCCGCGCACCCCCTACCCCGCTAACGCGCAAAATATACGCGACTAGTTGTAGTTGTGGGCAGCAGCCGATCAGCTCGGCCTTTGTGAGCAGATTAGTGGCGAAAAACGCCAGCGAAAAGCCAATTAGCAGTGCCCCGGGTAGCTGGGCCGGTGTCCACTATCCATTGTCCAGGAGCGGAACCCAGCCAGCTTTGGACGATTCCGGCTGTGATGCAGCAGCAGCTGCGACTACTGCTGCCACCTAACGAGATTCTGGACGCCTTTTGCACCCACCACACGTAACTAGAGCACCCACACACACACGCGCGCGCACATACACAAACAGAGCAACGGGAGCGACGGGCCAACGGGCGAACGGGCACACTAGCGTGTGGCCATTGATGCAGTGCAGCCGCCGCTTGCAGGGATTCGGGATCGGTAGGTGAAAGGACTGGGACAAACGATGATTTGCAAACAGGACGTGCTGCTGTGGTTTGAGAAACTCGAGAGCTACAATCGGATCGAAACGATGTACGCCCTGCTCACCGCCTGCCTGCCGTTCGAGCTGCGCTTCCTGGGCACGCTTCTCGAGGAACAGGGTCGGTGCGACTCGGAAACGCTGCGCGGCATGGAGCTGCGGGCTAACAATCCGCACGAGCTGGCCGCCGACATGGTCAACTGCCAAAAGGGCGACCCCACCGACCGGAAGATCCGGCGCAAGATGGCCCTGTATCTGGCGCTGATCCGTGCCTGCAACCGGAACTGCGTCAGTGAGATCTACCGCACGCTGGAATGCTGGGGCGAGTGCGATTTTGGCTGTATCAATGACCAGGACACGCTGCTGGAGCTCCTGTTGGTCTACACAATGGCGGCCATCCACCCGGTGTTCTCCATGGAGGAGCAGAAGAAGATCTTCGGCATACTGGCCAAGATCAAGGAGAACAAGCTGGTGGCCGAGCGGTTTGCACCGCAGATGCAGACACAGTCGCAGACGCCGACGCCGACGCCAGCACCCCATCATCCGCACCCGCCGTCCCCACACGACCTGATCCTGCAGCAGCAGCAGCAGCCACCACATGTGATCCACCAGATGCCGGGGCCACAGCAGCCGCCACCACACCCGCAGCATCCGCAGGTGGTGCAGATGGTACAGACGCCGCAGGGCAACATCCCCATGATCTTTCCCCAGCACTTTCCCAAGGTGAGTAGTCAAGCATAATCCAATCGCGGGCAGACTAAGCTCATTCCTTTATCATTTCGTTTCAGCTAATACCCAGCGCTGATGGAACGCACCAGATCAGTGTCGACGGCATGGCGCATCTGATGCAGCCGAATATCACCATTCCAACGGACACGAGTGCCATCATCGGTCACCAGAACACTGGGTGGACGATGCGCCACTACGTCCCACAACCGCCCCACCAACAGCCCGCTCTGCAGCAGCAGCAACAGCAGCAGCAGCCGCAGAGTCTGGACCATCAAGTGCCACCGGCCAGCTCGCCCATGCTGAGCCAGCAGTCCTCGCCCTCGAGCAGCCGGACCACCAGTCCCCAGCGGGACCGGTCCCTGATCAACGTTCCACTGCAGGCGCAGCAGCAGCCGCAGCAGCAGGCGCATCAGCAGCCGATGAGGAACATGTCGCAGCGACTGGCGGGGCAAAAGACTGCGCGACGTCCTTCGGCGGAGACAACGCCGCCGCCAACCTCGATTGGCGGCGAGCAGCAGCACGATGTAATTATCAGACCACTAAAAAAGTAGCGCATTGTAAGACGTAGCTTTTCCGATGAATAATTTACTGCGTAATTTGTATCGTTCGGAAGTGAATTAGAATACATAGCAAATTTATAGTCTTACATGAAGCAATCTATATTATTTTGCACTTACTTGTATTTTATTTATTTAGTTAGTTAACTTTTAGTTCTGCATAAGTATTTTATCAATTCCATTGTCTTCAGAGAATGCTCAGCGCTGAATAACACTAACAACATATTACATATTATTCATTGCAGGGTATTAACGAAGGCGGAAGCAGCAATTCGAGTGGAACCAGCCTGCACAGCCTCATCCGCAATGGTTTCCCGCGGCCAGGACACCACCATCGAGTCAAGGCAAACGCATTCATACCACAGCACCAGCAGCAGCAGCAGCAGCACTTTCAGAACCCCAACTACAACATGAACGTTATGATGCAGAGTATGAATATAAACGACGATGGCAGCAGTTCGATGATGGGCATGAACTCCAACAAAAGTGCGGCCACCACAGGCAGTGAATCGGGCAGCTCGAATGGATCCTGCGGCGACCTGTCGCCCTCGGAAACGCCGACGCCTACGCACCTCTCATTGCCACTGCACACTGCGGTGGATGCGGGCATGGGCATGCTCACCACGGTGCCGCCCGTCACCCTGGGCAACTACCAGCCAAAGCAGCATCACCTCAGCTACAAGCAGCAGCAGCAGCAGCTGAACTTGCAGCACCGGCTAAACGGACGCAATGGGATGGATAAGAGCTACCAGCAAGTCTATACGACGGGAACGCCGAGCATTGTCAGTGATGCGCAGACCATCAGCAGCGGCAGCCTGCAGCAGCAACAACAACAACAGCAGCAGCAGCAGCAGCAGACGCTGCTCATCAGCCAATCGCCGGTGAGCACGCCGACGACAACAGTGCTCCTGCAGCCGCAACAACCGCCGCCCACAGCCTACAATGCGAGCTATCCATATCACCAGCGAGGACCCCCGCCGCCCCAGCAGACGATATTCCAGGCGCACAGTGCGCCGCCGCCGCAGACGGTACGCGGTGGCCTCCGCTATCCGATTGTTCCGCCGCACAACGGCGAGTTCCTCTACCCGGCCTTCCACACGAGCCTGGCCTTCCTGTCGATGCCGGCGGGCGGCACTCCGGCGGCGGGGACGCCGCCGCAGCTGCAGAGCACGGCGGCCGTGGTCAGCACGAACGCGGTGACCGTGCAGACGGTGCCAGCGCCGCAACAGCAGCAGCAGGTTCCCAGCACGACGCCGTACAGTGCGCTCACCGTCTGCCCCATAACGGGAGCGGGCGGCGGGGGGAACGGACAGAAGGTGATCTCCTGCTACAACTGCGGATCGCAGACGCACAGCGGACGGGAGTGCCAGGAGGCGTCCATGGAGGATGTGACGCGAAGCGCCAGCTACAAACTGGACTACTCGGAGACGAGCATGGATGCGAACTCTGCGGGCGATCACCACAAGGATGTGAGCGGCATGCAGATCAATGCGGCGACGACTGCGGGGACGGTGACCAGTACGGGGAAATAATACGGAGGGTCCATATATTGACGTACATATATGGAAATATAATTACTGCTATATATTAATGATTATGCATAATCCTAACCTACTTATACGAATTACCATTTATTATGATTGTGTAGTGCGGAAATCAAATTTCTCGCCTTTGCCACGTCTCTTAGTTCGGTAAGCCTCTCAATTCGCGTTAATTCGATTTGAAGATCGGCGGCAGGCGGCTGCCTAAGTCTTGACAAACCTTATCCGTAAATAAGATTGATTTAGATGCGCCCTGTCCTGCCACAGAATACACACTACACACTACATACTACACCCCCACAAATCAGAACTACACACACACACACACATAGTCGATAACGAATTTTAGTCATATGTCACTCTTAATATTTCTAATGTTTAGTTTAATGTACAACAGCAATAAGTAATTATCCTAATCCGCGTTCCGTACACTCACTCTCACGGGCAGATGTTGCCCACAAGCCGCGATCGAATTAAGCTAAAGAACCATTACGTAAGCCGCAACGCGACCACGGAAGGCATAACCAAACCGTAAACGTATCGAAGGAGATGAAGTTAACTTTAGGAGAACAGAATACAGAAATCAGAATACAGAAATCAGAAAACAAAACACAGAACACAAAACGTAGCATACGGAATACCTAGCAAATATATAAAAATTGATTATGTGTATAAACAAACGAGCGTAGCAGCACAATGTGCATAGTTAACCGACTTCTTATTCCAACTTAACCTTCTGATTTTCTCACCAAGCGTAATCTAGTTACTCCTTCATCTATTTATTTGCTGCTCCTTTGTTTAAACATGTATTTTAGCAATGTTTTTTTTTTTGTACTTTATATGAATACCTACATACTTATATACATATATATATATAAATATATATATATATATATTTATAAATATTATTATTATTTTAAAGCAAACAATCGTATATGATACACTCTTATGTGGATAGGGCGTACATTATTGCTAAGCACTCTGTCTAATTATTATTATTTTATGTACTCACAACTTGACCCCCGATCGTGTGGGCAACTGTATATGTATGAACTGGCCAAGTTATAGAGAATAACCGTTAAGGTCACGCCAAAAGCCGCCCACGGTTGACCACAAAATACAATTGCCTGCCCTTAGTTTCTTATGTATAGACGTTGTTAAAATTTTGTAAAGTCAGCAGACGAACTGCAAGATAATGAGAGGAGAAGCAAATGATTTACATGAAATACACACTTTTCTGAGTTTGCTGCTAATGCGTAGGCATGACAAACAATTATTATATTTCATTGAAATAATAAAAACAAATTGTTTCTAAAATTCGTGTAAAAACACAAAGCTAAAAATCCAAACTGCCTTTATTTCTTACGCTTCTGTCTAAAACGTTTTCAGCCCATCTTCGGCACTCAAATCGCTAAGCAGGTGGCCAGATATGCAGCAAAATGGAAAGAGATCTGCTGGTGCTCTTAACGTGGATTGCTGAAATGCACCCTCGTTAAATTGCCAACTCCTCTCTGTGCTTCATAAGCAGGTTGTACAGTGACTACCAGCGAAGACAATATATTAAGCTTGATTTTGAATTAGTTTTGATTATGCCTAGATGGAATTGCATACTTATTTGGGATCTATGAAGCTTAAAACATACTTTACAATATACAAATAAGTAATTTCAACTGAGCGTTGAATGAAATCAAGTACCAAATAAAAAAAGACAAACTTTTTTTCTTTAAAAAATAAAATAATTTTTTCGATTGCTTTAATATTTAGTTACCCATTTAAATTCCACATTTAATCTGTTCGGATAGTCTGTTGAGTTTAATACTATTTTGAATGTTACAAACCCTGATATTCACTGTACTTCCATGTCTTAAACGCAACTCGGATTTGGGCAATACGACCAGAAACCGAAAGACCGAGGTGCCCTCAAGCGTGTCCGTCTTTCTGTAACGGCTCAGAGTCACAGCCGTAGTTATTGTGTTCGTCTTCAGTTGAGCGGTCGCATTTATCGGGTGTGGATCCTACAGTACAATGTAGAAGTATTACCAAATTCACAGAGTGGTTACTTGCCACATCCCGGGAAATCCCTGTAGAAACAACAACTCATAATTGGACAGAATAAGTGATTCTATGAGTTTTTTTTTGAAAACAATAGTGCAGTGCAGTGTATTGCCCCACGAAAACATATGAAATCCGAGGCGATCTTCAGTTGGTGGGTGCTCGTTGATGCATAGCGAAGTTGTAGTCTTACCAACAGCTCGAAATAAAAAAAAAAAAAAACAATAAACCCCCTGGACGGTCGAAACAATGCTCAAAGCCGCGAGGAAGCCAACGGATCCATACAAATCGAAGCTGAAAGTTAATGCCAGCCACAGTGGACCGCATCCACTGCCCGTCGAGCTGGCGAGGAAGAAGAAGGTGGATGTGGATGTGGAGGAGGAGGAGGAGGAGCAGGCCACCACTGGTGGCCAGACATCCCCCCAAAAGCTCAGCCTGAGGGGCAGCCAACTGGGGGGCAGCATTTTGATTGGCAACTACAACGTGAGTTGAGTTGACTCCGGTATCCGGTATCCGGCATACGGCATACGGCATTCGGCATCCAACATCCGGTATTTCGTATCCGGTCGATACCTACCTACATATATATATATGTTTGCAGCATTCAATGTTTTCTCTTTTCGCCGGCAGTACTTGACCCAGCTGGAGGTATGCGAAAACGAAATGGAGGTCTTGGATCTCAGCTCGCTGGCGCAGCTGGAGACGCTCAAGTGCAGCCGGAACAAGCTGATGGAGCTGATCATCAACGCCACCAATCTGCAGACACTCACAGCCGACCATAATTGTAAGTACTGCTCTTTTAATTTTAATATTTTCATATTTCCCGCTGTTTTAAGTGTGTAAAGTAGGTCTGAAATTGCAAAAATAATGGAAATCGTTAGCCACACTATCAAATCTAATTTGCATAAACATAACTATCTCTGCAGAAACGGTTTTTTATTGGTGCTTATGAAAAGGAAAGCACCATATACACATTTAAACCTTGTTAACTAATGGCTTATGTATGTATTGGCATTAGATTTATTTAAATTAAAACATAAAACAATAAACTAATTTTTAAACTCAACAAATACAAACAAATGCTTGCGTTAAATAAAATAGCATTGATTACCACTTTAAGCAATTTATTTTAAACACAAAAAAAAAACAATTTAAGCTATTGGGTATGAAAAATTTCTCAATAAGATTAAGATAAGTGTTTTAAATTAATACCACTAAAGTGTTAAAATAAAACTTGTGTAGCTTAAAAGTGAAACTAAAAAGTATAGGGTCTATATTACTTAGTAATGAATTAATACTTTCAAGACACAAATATTAAAACTTAATATTCACACTTTTTTAAGGTAATTTTTTTGTTGTACAGATAAGTAATATTAAAGAATGCAATTTTTTCAGTTTTTATATATATATATATAATTTTTTATTTTTATTATGTATTATATTTTATTAAATGAGCTTCTGCCACTTTTTTGATATACATTACAAAATAATGGAATTTAAACTGTATGCTGCAAATATGGAATAATGCTATATAAAGGATGTACTTTTAAGTTTTATTAAGTTGTTCCAATAGTAAACATTTAAAGTGATCCTATCCTTTGTACTCTAATTTATTATGTGCTTGGTATTTAAAATTATTAATATGGAAGTAATTTGCACCCATTTAACTCTCAAAATCTTATGTTCCATGTCTGCCAGACCTGCACAACATATCGACAACGAACAGCCATCCGGTGCCGCTGAAGCTGCATCGCATCGACATCTCGCACAACAACTTCGGCGAGCTGCCCAACTGGATCGGAGCATGTGCATCCCTGTCGGTCCTGGAGGCCGCACACAACCGGCTCGGCCAGGTGACGGGACTGCTGCGCAACTACAGGATCAGTCATCTGGTTTCCCTGAATCTGGCCTACAACGAGCTGAAGTATTTGGACCAGTTGCCGGAGGGTTTTGGCAGCATCCGGAGCCTCCAGCTGCAGAGCAATGAGCTGCCGAGTCTGCCGGAGAACTTCTTCGCTGTGACCCATTCGCGGCTGGAAACGCTGAATGCCTCCTGCAACAAGTTGGCCACCTTGCCGCGCTACGAGCAGAACAACCATGCTGCCTTGGTGAATCTCTCGCTGGCGGGGAACCAACTGAACGACAGTATTTTCGAGCCACTGCACAATGCCGCTAGGTTGAGGGTGCTGCATTTGGCCTACAATCGCATTGGTGTCCTGCCCGCCGCCTGTGTCCGCAACTGGCCGGATTTGGAGATCCTGGTCATGTCCGGCAATATGCTGCAGCAACTGCCCGAGGAGGTGGCCACTCTGGGCCAGCTGAGGGTGCTCCGGTGCTGCAACAACCTGCTCCTCTGCACCCCCCAACTGGCCAAGCTGGGCATGCTCAAGGTCCTGGATCTCTCGCACAATCATCTGGATCGGGTCAATCTACTGGCCCTCGTGCCCTCGCGGAACCTCAAGTACCTGGATCTTTCGGGCAACCTGCAGTTGCAGGTGAGACTACGGAATTTATACTCTTACTCTTATACTCTTTCTGCGCGAGTACAATTAATAATATTGATATGAAATGGAAATCACTTTGGTTTATGTTAATTTATTTATGTATATGATATTTTATATAAATTTAATATTTTGAAATATTTATTTTATGTGATTGAGATAATATAATTTATACTTATTTTATTTACAAAATTGTATTTTAAAAACTGTAAGTTTAATAATATGTTCTTTAATCAAATTTAAATGCAAAAGTTAAATTTTCTTAAAGTTAAAATTATTAAGCCAAAAATGGTTAAAAAAATTGTATTTTAAATAATATCAAAGGGATCTTTCCTAATTTTTGTGTGCTTGTGGATTGCAAGCGCAATTTTTCAACGACTATTTAATGCTGAAGAATTCGCGCTTTTTCTTTTATCCATCAGTTGTGAAAATTCCTTTAACGATAGTTTACTAAAAAAATGTTTAATATTATTAAGTATAAAATTATTATATTATTATATTATATTTATTTATTGATTTATTTATTCTAAATAAATTTTTATCCAGGTGGACGAGCAGCAGTTTAAGGTGTGCCAGACCCAGAGCCAGCGCCACTGGAGCCTGATCGATGTGTCGGGCAACAACAGAGCCGCCTTGCCCACAACCACGCTGCGGCAGGTGAATGCCCAAAGGGGTCAGAGCAAGGCGAGTGGACCCTGGACCATGGGCTTTGCGGAGACTCCGGGCTCTGGAGATTGCCGCAAGCTGCTGGTCTGCCAACTCCGGGCAGCCAACTATGGCGGCTCCGACGAAGCCCTCTACGGCATGTTCGAGGCATTGGAGGGACAGGGTCGGGCGGCCCAGGAGATGGCCCATCTAGTGCCCGATCTGATGAGGCAGGAGCAGCTGGTCAAGGACGCGGCGGTCAGGGACTACATGAAGTTCACCCTGCTGGCGGCCCAACAGCAGTGTGGCACGGTGCGCAGTGCCGCCCTCTTCCATCTCACCAGGACACGGGCTCCCTCGAAGGTGAGGCCGCTGAAGAGCAAGCGCTATGTCCTGCGCATGGCCAGCACCGGTCGCCTGGATGCCTATCTGATACGCCGCACCTCCCAACTGCGACTCACCGAATCGGAGACCATCCAAAAGGATCAGAGCCATTCCATGGCAATGCCGGATCCACAGGTTCTTGAGGTGGGTAACTAAGTTTAGGAGGTAAATAAAAAAAAAATAGAAAACATTTTCTAGTTCTAAAGGTATAGAGTCGGACCTAACAAGCAAAAACCTTTATTTTTCAAAAAAAGAAATTCCAATTTAGGACACTTACTTTGCCAATTAAAATACTTTCGGGACAAAATAATAAATATTTGCTTTAGGAAGAAAAGAAAACTATATAAATAGAATAAATAGAATTAAATAAAGTTTAAATTAAGTTCTACAAGCTAATCTGCATTTCGAAGATTTGTCTCCTACTTACAAAAAATAAGCAAATGGGCGAAATAAATAGATGATTAATTTAAATGCACAACATTTTTTTCCTCTAAAAGTTTCTTTTAAGTAGTTCAATTATTTGATGTTGGAAAATATTAATTTCTATCGGATTAAGAGTTTTTAGCTTCAGCAATTTGACCTAATTGTAAAATGAAACTTAATGCAATCAATCCTAGAAAATTATTTTAAAAATTGTTGCTTTCCAAAATGAATACTATTTTAACTTAATTAAATGTCCAAGAATAAAAACTAGTGAAAGGATTTTACCTACAGATTACTAATCCGAAATTTTAGGAAATCGTGGTTACAAAAAAACATAATAATCATTGCTAATCATTATAATCATTTATTCATTTTGATGTGTTCCTTGTTCCAGCTGACCCTAAGCAACGATGACGAGTACCTGGTGGTGGGCAATGCCCAGCTGTGGTCCGTGATGGACATCGATCGTGCGGCCCGAGAGATTCGGAAGGAGGAGAATGCCCTGCTGGCGGCCAAGCGACTGGTGGACATTGCGCAGAGTTTTGCGGCGGCGGAGAATCTCAGCGTGATTGTGGTGCGATTCCGGCACCTGGGCACCGACGTGGACCACCTCATCCGGGAGCTGAAGCAGAGTGTGCGCAGGAAGCCCCAGCCGGTGCCGCCGCCCTTGTCCAGTGGGTCCGTGTGCAAGCGGACCTGCTGCGATCGGAGCAATGCCTGTCGCCACCGGGCCATCGAACAGGAGCCGCTGGCAGGACGATCCTCGCCCAGTGGCCAGAGCGATCGGGATCTGCTGGCCAAGGACAGCAAGGACAGCAAGGACACCAAGGACAATGACAAGGACAACGACAACAAGGACGATGAGTTTGTGCTGGCCCATGCCCGCGTCCTGCAGGAGGAGCAGCAGCTAGAGATGCTGGACGAAACGGAGTCGGTGCTGTCCGAGGAGCAGTTCAAGTGCTGGGAGTACATGCTGGAGCAGAACACCCAGCTGCTGTTCGACAAGGAGCTGAACACCATTTCCAAGTCCTTCACGAAGCAGCGGTCCGTGCCGAATGCCATCGTGGCAGCCTCTCACCTGCCGGATCGCAATGACTTCACCTCGAATCTGATGCGCAGTGTCACCAACAAGTTCATCTCGACCAGCACCCCACAGTTGCCCCAGCCGCTGGGCTGCTCCACTCCGAGTTCCGTGCCCCTGGGATCGTATCATCAGGTGAATCAGCCGATTCCGGGTCATTTTGGCAGTGCCCTCACCTTCCAGCAGGCACAGAGCTACGGCTACGGCTACAATCTGTTCGATCCCAAGCCGCGCAAGATTGGAGCCGGAAGCAGCGTGAAGCGATCCGGAGGACCAAACTCCGCCTACTTTGGTTCCCTTCAGCGTCTCATGCCCTACAACTTCGAGTACGACTTTGCCGTGACCCAGGAGCGGGAGAGGAACATCCTGGACGAGGAGGAGCACGACGATGATGAGTTCAACGAGCAGGAGAGTCGCATGCGAAAGTACTGGGGAGTGGCCACCACGGAACTCTAGCCTTCGCCAGTGCGTTTACTATAAGTTCAAATGTATTATTTTAATTAGAACTGCTAATCGAAGTCAAGGTTTATTGACAATCTTTAGAATACATTTAAATATACATTCATATAAAAACCTATTCAGTAAAATTATTATTATTCATGAAATTTACTTTTCGATTATAAACTTTTTTTGTTTTAATTAGTAGTTGATAATAAATGTTGTATAAAGTAATAATAAAAGCAATACATTTTATTTTATTCCCACTGTCTTAAATTTTATACGATAGTCAATTTCCCCGCTAAAAATATTATCTTTCTTATAAACGATGCACATTTCAATAATTAATTAATTAATGATATTATTGATGTTCTTGAATTAGTAATAATACAAATTTAAATTTTCTTTAAATCCCTCCTTTTGAAATTTCATACCAAAAAGCCGTTATTGACTTTCACAAAAAACCCACTATTAAAAATCGATGGCCATGTTATCGATAGCTCCTCACGTGGTGTATGCCGATAGGCAGTTTCCCCGGCATAGTTATTCCTCCACGTTTGGCGATTGTTTATGTTTATTTACCATTAATTAACGATGCACCTGCCGCAACAAAGGCCGCACCACGACATCGCCGCACTCTTCGCGGAAGCGCAACCGGATTTCCTACGGATTTCCGCTCCGATGGTGCGCTACAGCAAGCTGGAATTCCGGCGACTTGTGCGCCTCAATGGAGTGCAACTCGCCTTCACGCCCATGATGATCTCGGACTCCATTAACAACAGCGAGAAAGCCCGCCAAAATGAGTTCTCCACGGGGGCGGATGACCAGCCGGTGATTGCCCAGTTTGCCGCCAAGGATCCGGCGGAATTTGTGACCTCCGCCCAGCTTATCTATCCGTATGTGGACGGCATCGATCTGAACTGCGGCTGTCCGCAGAGCTGGGCCATGGCCAAGGGCTATGGATGCGGTATGCTGCGCCAGCCGGAGCTAGTGCGTCAGGTGGTGCAGCAGGTGAGACGCACTCTGCCCTCGGACTTCAGTGTTTCGGTCAAGATGCGTCTCCTGGGCGGCGAGGAGTCCCTGCAGCGAACCATTGAATTGGCCCGCCAGTTGGAGCATGCGGGCGTCACCTTCCTCACTCTCCACGGTCGGACGCCAGCCCAGAAGCACTCGAAGGACACGCTGGACATCCCGGCCATGGCGGAGGTGCGTCAGTCCCTGCAAATCCCCCTGATAGTCAACGGCAATGTGGAAAGTTACAAGGATGCCTGCGAAATGCATGAGAAGACAGGAGCTGCTGGTGTGATGGCTGCCCGTGGACTGCTTGCCAATCCGGCACTGTTCAATAGCGCCTATCCGGAGGCTAGGAGCACGCCGCTGGAATGTGTGCAGCAGTGGTTGGACATTGCGGCTGCTGCCGGGGATAACCTGCTGTTCCAGTGCTTCCACCACCACCTCACCTTCATGTACAGCGCCCAAATGAAACGAGATCTGCGCGTCCAGTTCAACAGTTTGGGAAGCAAAGAGCAGGTGGTGCAGTTCCTCAAGGAACACTACAACCTGCAGTACGACGAGGACAACCCCACGCCGGCTGACTATACGAATTGCACGTACACCCACTTCACGCCGCCCAAACATGCCCGCCACATTGCCGCCGAGTCGGATGAGCAGGCCTGGAGTGCGAAGAGCGATGGCAAGTTCTTTACGGAGTTCCGGGCCCACCAGTTGACGGGCACTGGCGGGGAAGATCTGGAACTGGGCGGTCTCTTTGGCGACGAGTAGTGAATTGTTGTATAAATCTATTCTTAGCTATGTAGGTCTAAAGGTTGTACAAAATAAATAAATATTTCTTAATATATTTAGCTTTGCTTTGATATACATATAATACTTTGCTTGAAATTACAGTAATAAAACCAATAATTTCGGTAAATAACCATAAACAGTCGGGATAGCTAGACAATTCATTTTAAATATTAAAAAATAAATATTGTTTCCACTTTTTCATGTACTGGTATACATATGCATGCATAAACAAATAATAAAAAAAAAACAAGGTATCAGTTTAGATGACTAATATCACCTCTTGAATTTAACAAACTTGTTCTTTATTATTTTTTTTACTGTTTAAAAGCTTATGATAAATGAACAAAAATCAAGATCCTCAAAAATTTAAAATAGTGGGCATAATGCGATAGCCACTCGTTGGCTATAAAATAAAATAGGGAACACAGGTAAATGTATGGTATATTTGAAAAATGAAAATGATATAAAAAGTATTTTATATCGATTAATATAACGTCTGAATATTTATCGATAGCACCGCGGTCAGACCTGGTGCCACCACTAGGCCAGCTGGTGTATACATTCGAAACTGCCGAAAACAAGCGAGAAAATGCGACGCCGCGAACTGCAGACCATCCAGCTGAAGCTGTCCGATCTCAAGGAGTACGAGCAGGCCAAGATGGAGCGTCTGAGGAGTCGGCAGCAGTTACTTACCCCCCGGACGCCCACGCCCCCTCCGACAGCGAGGTGCTGCCGGCGACCTCCGGTAGCGTTCCGGCGGTTCTCCTGGCCACCAGCGGCAACGAACCGAACGAGGAGACCGAGGAGGCCGCCAAGTCGGAGCCCACCACCAAGCCCAGCACATCCTCCGCCTAGGATCTGGAGCTGCATTACCAGAGTAAGTTCATATACATATATTATCGTTTACATGGTATAATCGTCCGCCCGGCTGCTGCTGCTGCTGTTGTTGTTGTTCTGGAAACGAACCGTCTCGAAGCCGTCGACAAGGATTTCGCGATCCTCGGTCTGCTGCCGGTCCCGCAGCCATTGCTCCCGCACGGGCACATAGCGCCGCAGTCCGGGCAATTTCCGCCAGCAGCGTCGCTTGTAGAGCACCCAAACTAGCGATGCACTGCAGCCGGATAGGAAGCAAATCAGGAATATGCTAATGCCGCGGGCGTGCGACGTTGTCGCGGGCACCTCTGAGATTTCCGGGGCCAGTTCCTTGGCCGCCCGGCTGTGGGCCACCAGCCGTTGCTCCTCCTCGCTGCAATGGCCAATGGCGATGTAGGGCGTCATCGCATCCCCGGCCAGGGAATGAACTCGCACAGCGCACTGGGTGAAGGTGATATTTATCTGCTGGACAAACACATTGCCGGCACTCTTGTGCTGCTGCCTGGTGACACAGCCGACGTGGCTCTGGCTGAAGTTGTTGCGATAATGGACCACAAAGTTGGTCACCAAACCGTTGGGATTCTGGGGCTCTTGGAAGCGGAGGATGTACTTTTGCGTCTCCGGAACGTGGCAGGCATTCAGCTGGGCGAGCAGATCAGCGCCCATGGTGTAGTTTGTGCGCGCATAGAGCGTTGTGTGACTGCTGCAGCCCAGTTGGTTGCAGGCCTGCAGCCGGAGGTCATATTGGCGATAGCGATGCAGCGATTTGAGCTCATACTCCGTGGTGTTTCCGGGCAGCCGGAGCTGCGGCAGCGTAGCCTCCGCCAGCGCCTGTCTGCGGCACTGTTTGCGATCGTCCAGCGTGCAGCGGTACTGCTCCCGCATGTCCGCTACGAAGCGAGAGTCGTCCAGTTGCTCCGCCCGCGCGGCACAGCAGTCGTCGTAGTCCTCGAAGGCCAGCCACTGGGCGCCGACCGTGTCCTGCCACATGTACGCCGGCTCGTGGCAGTAGTTCCGCTGATCGATATACGCCCGATCGTCGGCCAGTTCGAAGACCGTCAGCAGGAAGCTGTCGTGGTCGCGACTGGCCATCCGCACACTCAGCGAACTATCCGTCTTCCTGGCCAGCTCCAGCAGCGGTGGCTGCGGAATGTCCCGCTCCGTCTGCACGTAGGTCAGTTCACTACGCGCATCCTGAGCCACGTCATCGCCGAAAGTTCGCAGCAGGCAGGCGTATCGTGTGTTCGGTTGCAGATCGTCCAACTCGAGCAGATAGTGGGTGCCATTCTCGATCAGATTGTCGGGGAAGAGCAGCCGGCGCCTCCAGTTTATGCGTGTGCACACCGGCGCCTCCAGTTCGCTCTCCTCGTGGTACAGCTTTCCCGGCATCAATGGTCGGTGGATCAGTTCAAGCCTCTGGCTTGTCTGGCTCTTCAGCCAGCTTAGCTTCACAGTCCGATGGGTTCGTTTCTGAAAATGTTTAGATTATATTCAAATCTCTGTGTTTATCGCGTACGAAGTTGTTGTAAATTACCAGCACAAACAGCTGCAGCTTTGAGGGACTGCACTGCACCTCCTGGTCGTTGGTCTGCAGGGAGTCCAGGGCCCTGTGGTGGGTCACACTGTTCTGGAACTCGCGCATCCTTCTGTTGCACAGCTTGTTGTTGCGATGCATGAACATGCCGCCCTCCATGAACTCCAGGTGCGGCGAGGGCTTCCACAGCTCGGCCAGCTGCTTGTTGTCATAGAGTATGAATGAGTGGTGACGATTCTCTAACGGATCACCGTACACACGCTCCAGATTGCTGAGGAAATTCAAGCTTCTCAGCTGGGACGAGCTGTGAAACAAACGGGGAAATACCTTGAAGTGTCATGAGGAAACCAAGTGATTTGATGCCCACCGAAAGACTTTGAGATGGCCCCGAATCTCGCGAATGCTGGTGAAGCTCTGACTAAGCAGCGTCTCGTTCACCTTGTTGCGAATTGTGATGACCAGGCTGCCGTTGAAGATCTGGCAGCCACGCAACTTCTCGGCATCGGCCAGGTTGTAAATGGTGAAGGTATTCCCAGGATACTCTGGAGTGCAAAAGCTAACACAAGCCTCATCCCGGGCACACGGCACACACTCGGACTGGTTGTCCTTCTTGTAGCCACTGGGACAGAAGGCTACGCACTGCGACCCCGAGATAACGAAGCCATGCTTATTCACACACTCATCCTTGGTGTAACACCGCTGGAAATGCTCCAGCACGTACCTGTAGTTATAGTAGTTGAAAATAGAGAGCCGGACATATATATATATATATATCAGCAAGTTTACACTCACTTGTTCTTCGGACAGCTTTTCACACAAACTCCGGCGTCGCTGAGTCCTCGGCAGACTGCGCAGTCAGCAGCGGATGTGGAGTTATTCTCGCAGCCGCCCAAACACTCCTCATGACAGGTGTTAATGTTGCTAAAATGATTCAGTGCATTTTTAACTTAATTCCAAAAGATATTTATTCCACTTATTTAATTCCATCACTATGCTATAGAGTTTCTGATAATTACCTTTGCATAAAGATTTGAAAGCTTATAACTTAAATATTAAATATATATATACATATATATATATATATATTTAAGTCTCCAAAAAGAATTATTATTGATTTAATTTTTTTTTTAAAAATCATTGCTTTTGAGCAAAAATTAAAACTCCAAAAGAATATATTTATATGAATTAAAACTTTTTTGCTTTTCAAATTTATTTAAAAATTGCTCTCCAAAATCTTTAAAATTTTCTTTAGAAATTCATGTTAAGTAAATATTAAACCCAAATTAATTTTAATTTTTACTTACGCCTTCGGGTTAACAACATTTTCGTTTAGGGATCGCTGGCAGTAAATGTTTGACCAGCAGTAGGAGGAAGAACATCCCTTGCACACGGGAGTGCTGCAGTTCTTGGCAGCCATTATGATGTGGTTTTCGCCTCTGCTGAGGGTGAGCAGATCCCAATTAACCCGGTCGATGTTGCAGAGCTTCGGGCAGTTCCCGATGTAGACTTGGCCGCGTTGTATGGCCACCAATTGGGGGAAGGCCAACTGAAAGTTAAAGGGTTCAATAAGTGCCTTACATAAGCTTCGATTGCAAATAAGAAAATAACTATAATAGCATACATATATAAAAAATGGTCTCATATATTTTATAACTTTACAATCTCTCTTTACATAAGTTTACTATCTTTTTGATATGTTTAACCAAAAAAAAAAGATTATTTTGTATTGAAAAGCTTGAGAATTTACTAAACGCTTTCGGGAGATAATGTCTTTGCTGTTGTTTACAGTGGTCAATAAAGTATATTTATATTTTATATTCTTGTAAATAGGATCGAAATGTTTAATAAGTAGCATAATGATTTGATTTTCGGCACTCACCTGTTGGAGGTCGTACATGCTGGTCACGCCGAGGGCATAGTTGAGGAACAGGCGCCGTCCCCGGATGACGGTCAGGTTGGGGAACATCTTCGTGATGTTAACCAGGCCCCGCACCTCGGTGAAGATCATGAACTCGGTGATCTCGGTGAGGAGTGGGAAGCTGTAGTCCGAGAAGTTGCAGTGCTGTTCGCTGGTGATCAATGTGATCATCACGTAGCCGGTGACCACGGTGCAGTTGTCCAGCAGATGCATCTTCCGGCACTCGTTGCGGATGTCGATGCTGGTGCATTCGTGCTCCGATTTTGATTCGACACTAGGTGCATATATCGCCAACAACATGAGGCTAAGGCCCAGCAACATGTTGCTGGACGGCATGTTGCCAAGCTGGGACTTCAAAACTGTTCTGAACTCTATTTTTCGTTTTTCCTCTTTAGCTTTTTGTACCGGCAACGATGTCGCCCCAACATATTGCGTTGCTTCCGCCGTACTTATGTTTTTTCGATCCGAACCGATCCGATCCGCTTACAGTTATATAGCACTCCTAATTAGCGCCCTGACCCTCTGGCCATCTGATTAGCCCCGATATTTATGACTTGAGCGCTTTTCTCGCGGCTTTTTCACCTCTTTCGCGCTATCGGGGGCGAAAAATCACACACGAAGGGCTGTTGCCTTTTGTTTTACTTCTTCGCTAATTATTTTGCTTTACCGTCTAGAGCTTAAGCGTAAACAAATACTTTTTATCACACAAGCACAATACGCACGTTTAAAACAATTTCTTCTTCGATCGTATTTGTTTATTGTTTATTTTATTGTATTTTTGTATTAACATTAGGCTGGTCTCGTGGAGGGCAAACGTCTGCTCTTCTGTTTTTTTGATCGCTTTTGGCACATATTCATATCATATCGCGGGAGTTGCCATATATTTAGATCATCTGGCTGATAGAGAGATCGATGATTGTGCCATACAATCTGTTGGCAAATATCTAATTTCAAAACCCAAACGGCCGCGTGTATGATTTTAACATGCCCAAAAATAAGTATTTAAAAAGAAATTCGGTGAAGTCATAAAACAAGAATGCATAAAATCTTCAGAGAATAAACGTTTATGAAGGCAGCTTTATTATAAGAGTGTTTAAGTGTTTTGGTTTTTAGTCTATACACTGTACCACAATGAGTCATCGGTCAAATTTAATTGTTATTATATTCCTTTTCTTAGTACCAAAAATAAAGGTTAAATTAGTATCAATTTCAAACATTAACACGTTTTTTTTTTGGCTACTTAATATAATTTAATAAAAAACTTAAACGTTTGCAAACATTGTTTTTAAACAATTTATTTTTGGAACCTAGCTGTTTTAGTAAAATTAAGTGAAATAAAGCAACATCGACAGCATAGTAAGCTTATAATCTTTAAGTATATAAATCTAATTAAAAAAAAAAAATTTCAATTTTTATTTGCGTTTTCTTGTTTTAGCTAGAATTAATTATCAGTTTTATTAAGCTGACTTTTTACTGCCAGAGTATATAGTATACGATTATATAGAAATACAAATTAAATGTATTTTCTTGTTTTTAATTTCAGCGGATTTTTAACACCTTGATCGTCACTACCTCAATGGATGGATAAAGCACCTTAGTTTTACAAATAACATATTTTAGAATCTTCACCGTCTAGTTAATTTAGGTGGTAGTTCACTACTATGCATTAAGTGTATTTAATTGGGCACTATAACTAATTAGTGCCAAACAGCCAGACTGTTAAATATAAGAAATAACTCAAACAAATAACAAATAGAATATTTCAAGATTTCATTATTGAGCGATTTCAGCTGACCACACACACACACACACAAACACACACGGCGGTATGCAATTAAAATGTTTGAACAATCTTCAAAGAATATTTTCGCCCGGTGCAGATTCGAAATTGGGAAAGAGCACGCCGACCGACGATGTTCACCTCGCGACGATCGATTGCCGACTGGCCGACTGGCCGTCTGTGGACCTCGTCCGCCTGTGGAGAGCAAACCAATTGATTTTCCATTTAGTGTCTTCTGCCACCAGCCTCCGCCGACCCTGGGATCTCGCCGATCGCCAGATACACTGCCTGCACACCTACGGTCTGTGTGTCGATCTCGATCGTAAATTGATTAAGCGATCGTTTGATTTCAGCAGGCATGTGAACCAGTTAATTTGTCATCTGTCAGCCGTTGCGCTTACGCAACAGCAATTTAACAAGAAATGAAAGTAATGCGATTCGCTTGCGGGTTTCTCCCAGTGCAGCCATTCGATTTTTATGGGACGGCAGCTCCTGCCAAACCACCAGCTGATCCCAGTGGCTCATCGAAACAGCTGACTCCAATTAGCCACATGGCACCGACTCACTGGCTTACCGGTACCGGCATCGTCATCGCCATCGCCATTGGCATTGGCATTGGCATTGGCATTGGATTCTTCCTTCCACACGCACATTGACATGGACATGGACAACTTGAAGTCAAGTCAGGAGAATTCCCATTCAGTATCCGAAGCGATTAAGTTTAACGAGCCGGCAATAAGAAGTTTTAGAGAGCATTGGAATACACACAAAACAAAAGGCATCTCAATATTTAATTTAGTTTGTATTCACAATGTTTTATCATCAAAACAAAACGTGGCCTAATAATTATAATTAATACTTTGAACACTTTTATATGTTAAATATTTTATAGATTCCATATATATACTCCAAAATATCTGGTTGATTTCTGAACCACATACATTTTTCTTTCTGTGCATTGAATATCAAGATCTGTGGAGAACTTGGTACACACTTATGGTTGAAAACTATTTTAATGATATGAAAGGAAAGGATTTAATTACTTGCTTATAAAATATGCAGCCAAATTTGAAACTGACTTTTGAAATTTGCTTTTTATAGTTTTTACTCTATGAAATAGAGCGTTTAAAAGCTTGACCATCCAGTAGTCTCAGTGACCTTCAAACTGAACCATTCGACTAAAAAGGTCCAGTTTATAGTTCGTGGCAAGCTTGTCTTCCATTTTATTAACATAAATTTTCGTCAATTCAGTTTGGTTTCAAATAATCCAAGATGTTAGCACAAGTCTTCCCGCATTTAATTTCACACAATGTCTATTATTTTTTGAATCTTATTAAATGCCATATTTTCCAAGTAGCAAACATATATAGTACATACTTTAAGATAAAATGTTGAGATTGTTTGGAAGGGTAAGGGTGCGATGTTCGACTTTTTGTTTTTCTTACCGTCATCTTGTTTGTATAAAAGATCATTTCATATTTTTCGAGCCCCTGCTTCGAGTCAAAGTTCAATTAATTCAATTAAGTTATTGGGTGCGTGTATACTGAGATCAACTTATCAGATCTATGGAAAACGCTTCAAAATTCAGCCACATTTTCGTATACTAGCTTCGAATGAAAGTCTGTTGTTTATATTTATTTAGATATTTATTGAAATAATGCAGCTTTTAAGGTTAGTGGCTTAGCTTAACTAAATCAGCCTACTCCGGCGGCGTGTTGTCGTGTATCCACTCGGAAAAGTGGGCCACGGAGGTGTAGACACTCGGAATGCGAAGGCCGCCGCAGTTATCCGATCCGAAGGACATAATGCCAATCTGTGGAATAAAAAATTATTTGAAACTCAAATTTATGGAGGTGGGGATTTAAAGGCCAAAAATAGGGACTACTTTCGCGATTTAGTTCTTTAAATTTAAACAATGTGAAAAAATATAAATATAAATATGCTAATTTTTGAAAAGAAGATGTGTAACAAATGTCAGAAAAATTTGTTTGCTTAGGTTTAAAACGGGTTTCTTTTTTTATGGAACATAAATGTAGCATAATTTCTTTATTGTAATTTTGGTATTTCAATAAATATTGTTCTTATAACACGTTTAAGGTGAAGAACTTTATATTTATAGTTAAATAATATATCGATGACCTTAATATTAGGCAGAACTTGAGATCTGATTGATTTCGTCGATTTAATTATGTAAGTAAGTGTTATTAATAGAATAACTTGTACCTGTGAAAATATGCCGTTTTCTTGCACAAAAAGCGGCGCTCCACCGAATCCCTGACAGACGTCCTTGCCTTCGCCGCCGGCGCACATCCATTGGCCCTCGATGGAGTTCGGGGACTCCAATGCGCCCGTGGAGCCGTAGTTGCGCAGACACAGGTCCCAGCTGGTCAGCGGGACGTCCAAGTGCGACATCTCCGGCTGCCGGATGCTCGACGTGGACATCTTGCCCCATCCGGCGATGGTGGCTCGCTTTCCCACCACCAGGTTGGCGCGTGTCTTCTGCAGGCAGATGGGTTGTGTAGCCACTGGCGGTGCGAGATGGGTAATGGAAATGGGTTGGCTGCCATTAATCATGTGTTCGACATCTGATCGCTACCTGCCCACAACTGCAACATTGTTGCATGACCCAAAAGGGCTTACACATTATTTTTTAAAAGGGGTTTTAATAATCATTAATAATCATAAAACTTACGATAAGGATTTGTTAAAACTGTAGTACTGAATAAGTAGGGATTTTATAAAATATAATGTTTAAAACAATATTTTTTTAAATACCAAATAAATGAAATATGATTTATACAAAAATTCAAAGTTTTAGGTTTGCCTTTTAAAAACAATGTACTAGTTAAGTCAAATTATTTAAAAAAAATCTTTTTAAAGTTTAAAACTAGAGAAATTTAACCAATATTGTAAAAATTAAAGTTTTTATATAACCTGTAAAATTCTATCATTACTTAATAACAATTTCTTGTACGGAAACTTTTTAAAATCGATAAAGGGATCCCTCTTCGTTGACGGGGTACGTCCATGCCTGATCCAATGATTTATCTCATGCCGTTGCATTTATTTGGGCATTATAAAGCAATAAGGACGAACGCAAGCAAGTTGGCCCAGCCACATGGGTCACGCCCCCCTTTTGGATCGCAAATAATGTGCTGTTTACGAACTGGCCAAGCTGCACTTAACCAATCGATTGCCTCACCGATCGATTGGTTCGTCCGTTGCCTGGTAAAGACCCCTTTTTTGTTGTAATGCCATGTGCAATGTGCGATGTGCAAGAGGTGGCTCCGTAATATGGTTTTACGCTTTAAAAATCAATTTCTGGAATCACTCTGTCCGACAAAGGTACCATTAAAATCGCGTCCGAATTGAACTCGATCGGAGACTAACAATTTGTGAGTAAAGTAAAAACCAGTCAAGTTCTCAATGAATCGAAATTCTGAATGGAAAATAAAAGAATGCTTCTGAAGGAGGGTATTTTAAATTAACCACACTCAGAAAACTAGATTCCTTGAATTAAGGAAAACATGACCTACATTTAGTAATAATTGCCTTAATTTTTGCTTTTCATACAACATTTGGGAGTCGTTTTGGGTCATGTTTCCTTAAATTTTGTATGAAAGGCTCAAATTTAAGGCAATTATTCCCAAAATTAAGGTCATTTTTTCTAAAAATAAAATAATTTTGTTTTCTGCGTGCATAGCTGATCAGTATTCCAAAGTTCGTAGCCATTGAACTGAGGCCAAAAGCTAAAAATCAAAGCGGATCCAGTGACCAGGTCGCGATCAACTCATTAGCTGGTACAGTAAACACGCACCAAAGCAATTAAGTGGCATGTGGGGATCCCAGCCTCGAATTAGCGACATGCAGCCGGTCGGGAGGGGAGCACATTTGACATTTGTGAACTTGGAGCCAGTGGAGTGGATGGAAAAAGATGACAGAGCAAAACGATTTTTAATTAACAGCAACACTGCCAAGCGTAACCACCCATTGGACTCCCATATACCGTCCATACCGCCCATCACGCCCAGAACTCACCCGAATAGTTTAGTGGCGTTTTCAGCACCAACAGAGCAATATCATGGTGGTACTGGCCCTGTTTGTAGTCGGGATGCACGATCACATGGCTGATGGCGTGGTTGACGGACCGCGGGGCACAGAATCCGGTGTTGGCGCAGTCCGGATCGCTGGAGGTGTCATACTCGCCCACACGCACCGATGACCTGCAAGAGTCCGAAGGAGAAAGTCAATACAATACGATACGATACAATACGATACGATGCACTGCACCCAGTGACCAGTGACCAGTGACCCACTTACAGTCGGTGTCCGTCGGCCTTGGCCAAAGCACAGTGGGCCGCCGTGAGGATGACCCTGCGAGCGATCACCGCCCCGGCACACGGATAGGCAAAGGCACCCGTATTAACATCTGAAAAGTACAAAATAAATGTATTATGTCTGCTTAGAAGATGAGTAGTTATATTTAATCCAAATAACCATTCCTTTTTACATTTGATAATATGTAAAAGAGATTTAAAACAAATCCAAAAAACATACACATTCCTATATCATTATTTAAGCTTTTCATATTCTTAAAAGAAGGTAAGGTTAAATAAATGTTAATCCTTTTTAAAAGAAATCATGCTAAACAAATTTAGCTTTAAATCTTAATGATTTGAAAATCTATTTACTTAAAGTCTTTATTAATAATTATACATTTTATATAAAATATTTAAATTTATTTATATCAAATATTATATTAAAATCATTGCATATTAAATGACATGTAATGTAGATAATATTAATTTAAACAAAGTTTCATTTTGATTTAAGTGCAGTTTAATTAAGTTTAATATGATTTATGGATTATAGTGAAAAATATTTAAATTGGGAAAGTATATTCATTTCTTATTTATCGGCTGGAAAAATATAAGTTCAAGACTTGTAGCATTTGGATAAAATAGTTTCAAAAGAACGCTTACGCTTGAAACCGATGCGTGCCACAAACGGATAGGATCCCAGTCCCTTGTAGAAGTGTCCCTGGACCAGGGATTTTCCGCAGACCTGGTTCTTCTCCAGCGGACTGCTGGGGCAGCAGACGTAGGGCAGCTCCTCGCTGGCTCCGCCGCAGTAGAGCGACTTGTCGCCATAGTAGCAACTCCGGGCCACCTCGTAAATCAGGGCGGTGCAGTCGTGCAGCGGCGTGCACTCAGTGCCCACAGAGCAGGCTGTCTGTCCGGCGGATTGGCCCACATCGTAGTAGGAGCGAGCGGCCACCGAGTGGCCTGCCGTCTCATTGTTTGCTTGCCGTTTTGCATAGCTCTCGGGAACCAGCAGTTTCTCTAGAAGAAGTTAAACTATGCCTTTTAAGTGGACAATTTCACAACAAAATGTTTTTTATTTTTGCATTTCTAGTTCTTAGTTTGGATTTTTATTATTATCACATTATATTAAAAAGGATGTTGTTATCCATTAAATTATTAGTGCAAAAATTTAGTTTTTTTGGACTAGAGTTCATTTAGTTGTATATATTCCTTGGTCATTTTTATTATAAAGCATAAAATCATGTTTAAAATTTGTTTTCTATGTACTGTCCAAATATGTGCCTTTCAATGAGCTTTTTTTATCCTTAAGCGTAGAACGTTCGAAAAAGATATAACTTTAACACTCATATTTTACCGAATTCCCCCGACTCCGTTCGAACGATTGCCAAAAGTTGCGAAATCAGGCAAAATATAGAAAACATTTGCATTGTTTCGAACACTTGATCAGTATTTCCGCACTACGTTTCTAAAACTGTTTACTATACTGGCATAGAGCTCAGAACTTTCGGTTTCCGGTAATTCGAACCGAGCAGGTGAACAAAACTTTGTCAACTAAACGAAATGATCTGGCCAAATGAAAATGAAAATATACGTATCCACATAAGCAGATAAGTATATCACACACATGCGAGTATTCACTTCTATATATACACTTCTATATACACTACGTTGCTACTGGTCTGGCGGGGTCTGCGGTTATTAACTGATTTTTATGACAGTTTGGTCTCGATTCGCGACCATTTCCAGGTTGTAATTTACCCATTTGTTGGGCAGATACACATTTCTATGGCCTTTCATAGCAGAACCTGCGGATCCGTTTGTCCGTCTGTCTGTCCATTGCAAGCGATCTCATGAATCCGTCCGCAGTTGCACTATATGTTTTTTGTTTGTTTCTGGCCATTACTGGTTGGAAATTTAAGTTAATATAGACTTCAAAGGCATTTTAATACGCTACGGGTGACAAAAGTTTTTGATAAAGGCTTGTGATACTTTTTTTGTCAAAATTAAAAACTGCACTAACTCACAGTTATTATTTAATTTAGAGTTATCTGATAAACACAGAAAGGAAAGCCCACCATAAATAGATTTTATAAGGATTTATAATAGATAACTTATAAAGATATCTAATTTTCCTTTCAAAATTAAATTTACGCAGAAATGTTTTGAACCGGGTACATTGCCAATTATTATTAAAAGTTTTAGGTACTTATATTAAAAATCTATAACAAACTTAAAATAAAGATTGCTATTAAACTTTTGTTTGTACATTTTAAGTTTAAAAATGAATACTTATGTATTACAATTTTGTTTGTAGAGAACATTTAACTCCAGTTGGCCTATACTTTCCCTGTTTGGAGATGTATGTTATTATTTAAGCGAGATTAGCCTACGTTTTACGTATTCATTTTTTTTAGGGTAATAATAAAATATGTTGAATGAGATCATTTAGATATGATAAGCTGGCGCATTTCACTGGACAAACGACCAGCTGGTTCCAGTTTTTTAAGCAGGAAAACGAGCGCGACAAACGCACATTAAATTGCTTAATATGTGTATGTTGGTAGTATCACTGCCCCCCTAAATTGTTTTGTAATTTTATGTTTTATTTTCTTTTTGTTTAATGGTCAGGTTTTATTTTCACTTGGCAGACGTTTGGAAAAAGAAATAATTTCACTTTTTGGATTTTTTTTTTTGGCTTGTGGTTAATAGTTAAGTCTGCCAGTTCATCAGATTGTCGGAAATGTCGATCTAGCTGGAATCATTGTCCAGGCCGGATTCGCTGGATGAATCGCCAAAGGAGTTCGAGTCCATGGCGAGTGCGGCTAAGTGCTCTTGCTCGGAGTTTCCGTGTTCAGGCAGCGGGTAATTGGGCAGCACCTGGCGGAATACATTGTAGCGATCCCGCAGCTCGACATCCACATCCTCCGGACGACGATCCTGCTCCTGGAAGAACTTAAGGATCGTAAACAGGAACACGCGGTTCGCAATGTTGCAGTCTGGCAGCAGACTGCGATTCTCCAGTTCATTGAAACACATCGTACTTGGAATGACAGTATTCTATTCTTTCAATTCGTAGTTTGTGGAATTAATTATTTGTCACTTTGGTAAACGGAAGTGATATGGAAATCAGTTGTTCTTTCTTTGAATGTAAAAGCACTGCTTACTTGCGCTCATTTTGTGAAAACTAGCTGCATAATTTATCTATGAATTGTTGAATATTTTACTTTTAACCAAAACAACTCGTAGGTATATCAAATGTATAAATATATACATAGTTAGACTTATTAATTCGCATATTTATTGTGACCGCTTTACAACGCAAAACGATCGCAAACATTGCATAATTTACCTGTTAAACTGTTAACCCATTAAACGCAAAACAAAAGAATACCTTTTTGAACAAACGAAAGCAGTTACATTCCCATAAATTCAGAAGTACAATATATACTTTTATATATGTAAAATGAACACTACACATATAGTACATACTTGTTAGTTGTATACAAAAAAAACACAACAATTTGCCACCCGAATTACCGTTATATGTATGTCTATTAATACCGTTTTGATGTGGCCATTAACGTGTTTAAACTATCAGTAAATTGCTGAAATATTAATGACAAACTCACGTAGGGAAGTGCCCTCTTTACTGTATAATGAAGCCACAAAAAGTTTTATTGTTTGAGATCATATAAAAATATATATTTTTTATTATGTAGAATTTCATATTGTAAAACAACCATTTGATACATATTTATATGTATATATTGCCAATTAAAGTAGTTAATTAAATTGCTTTGCTCGTAACGGTTATTTGTTTTCTCAACACTCAAATAAAAAACTACTTTGTAGACATTTAAAAGAAAAATTTGTAAATCTTAACGGCAACTTTTCTTAGTTCACGAATTTTCTCCCAAAAGTATGCATTATCAATTTGGTGAAGAATATGTTTTTACAATATCAGTTTCCTTTTTAAACGAAAGGTGTCTATCCTAATCTAATATAGTAGTATCTTAAAATGGGTCAAGCAGAGCTTAAATAAGCAACCCAAATTAAAGGACAGATTAATCGGAGATAAGCCACTTTGGAATCCAAAAAGCATTGTAATTTAAATTATTTAAGTATTTTTATTGGTATCTTAAATGGCTTCGATAAAAAAAATTAAAAAACTTAAATGCTTATAAAGTCTGAAGTACATAAAAATGTACCCTATATTTGACAGATAAGTTCTAGTTCATTAACTTCGTTATCCAGGTTTTATCCGTCGTAAATTTGCTGATCTGACACCGGCAGAGTCCTTTGTGCTGCGATATCAGTTCGGCAAACTGGGCCACAATGGAATCCCGACCACAGGAGGCCACTGACGTCACCACATCCTCATCGTTCACGAAATAGGCTACGAACTGCAGATCCACGAGGCTTCCGTCGATGAGGACGTCTTTGTAGGATCCATGGCCGGCGGAGCGGAAGGCCTTTCCGAAGATCACGGTATAGAAAAAGGGTATGGCCTCCAGTTTAGCGATGCGACCACACATGTTCAGTGCAGCAATCCATCCATGGTATTGGGCCAATCCATAATGGCTTATATTAACACGTTCGGTGACTCCACCTAAGATATGCGCGTTGGCTATATCACCACCCACATAAACATTGCGTATGTTTGTCTGCAGAAAGTCGTTGACATCCACCGAGCCATTGGGATTCACTTTTACACCAGAATTTCGCAGAAAGTCCGTGTTGCATTGGCAACCAGTGCCCAGAATAAGTAAGTTGCATGGAATTCGCGACTTATCTAGTAGTTCTACTTCTGTTACCTCATCGAGGGAGTTTCCTAGGATCTGGGAGATACCACTGCTCATTCGTAGCTTTACATTGTTTGCATCTAGGAGTTGTAGTATACGCTTTCCAATCACCTCACCCAAAGTGCTTTTAAATGGCACATTTTGTCGGACTACCAGGGTAACACTGCCCGCCTTGGAAACCAGATTGGCAGCAGCCTCCACAGCCATGAAACTGGAACCCAGGCACACTACTTGCGTGGTTTTACCCACCATTTCGAGTATGCTCCTGGCATCGTCAATATCACGAATAGTTTTTACATTTTTTAAGTGCACTCCGCGTATATCTGGCCTTATGGCTGAATATCCAGTTGCTATATAGATATTGTCATACAGCAAAATCTTGCCATTGCTGCAATGTAGAGTGCTGCGAAATGTATCTAGTTTTTCAGCGGAGACTCCCAGGCAAACCTCTATGTCGTAGTGCCTGTAAAACTTCTCGTCCCGCAAACACAACTGATTGGGTGTCATATTTGAGGAGTTCATGATCTCTATGCGATCGTAGGGTAGATGTTTCTCCCGGCAGACGAGGATCAGGCGTCCAGTGAAGCCCTCCTGCCGCAGGGTTTCCACACAGACAGCACCCGAAGGACCGCCACCCACTACCACAAAGCACCGTTGATCCCGACAGTTAAGCCTTGCCATCTTCTTGATCCTCTGGTGCTTACCCAAATCAGATCGTTTAACGCGCACCAGCACCTGACCTCTGGAGTCGACGTCCACTTGGTGACAGGGCAGCGAATCAAGGCCAGGAAAGTTCTCAATGTCGCCAGTTTCCAGGCTAAAGCATGCCCCGTGCCAAGGACATCGAACGCGATTTCTGGACAGGACACCCTTGGACAAAGGAGCTCCACGATGGGGACAAATGCCGCCCACTGCTCGCAGGATGTCATTCTGCTTGACCAAAAGGATATGGGTGCTCCCATTAAGTACCACCTGCCTCATCTCGTTATCCTGCAAATCTGATTTATGGCAAACTGCCACCGGATTGGAGTACTCGTAATCTTTCGGTAATGAAAGCATTTTGAAAAGCCAATTTCTACACCTAAATTGCCTTTTAAAATTAAGAAATTACAATTAATTGACAGTGAAGTAATGGAATACATGTGAGCAAATGTTTTTATGCTCCATAAAATGTAATAAGCAATCTATTTAAAAATAGGTAGAGTCCTTTTATAATGACTTTTTTAGTTTGAAACCCGCTCTTAAATAATTAATTAAAACTTTTTGGTTAACAATTTTTGTTGTCTTTTATTCTTATGTGTCAAATAGTAATTTATTTCATCGCATTCGTTTTATCATTTTACGTAGTTGCTGTTTTACTGACATTTCTATTTGGTTGAAATATTTTTTTTGGTTTTTGTATTTGTTTTTTGTTTTTGTTTTTTTTTTTGTATTTTCGTTAGATATAAATACGACATCACGTTTTCGTAATTGATATTTCTCCTATGCAATTTTGTTGTATTCCTATATAAAGCAATAAATAACTTGTTGATTTTTTTGTTTTTTTGTTTTTTGTGGGGCAGGGGGCCTAACCAATGTTGTGCTCGCAATGCCCCGCATTTGTTTGACGCTATACAGACTTAATTAATTTAAAATTCAGTTTTAGTTTCCATTCACTATACACAAATATACAATATTTACAATAAAATATCAGGGTTACGAATGTAAATGATAGAGCGAAGTAATCGTTCAAGAACAGTTGTAATCATAACGCTTAGTAACATTCAAGCCGTGTTAGGTGTGTATTCTCAAGCTAAGCCCACCGTTGGCAAACCGAATTGAAATCAAGGATTTTGAGCAAATTGTGTTGGTTTTTGTTCACTAAAAATTATAAAGGCTTAGTGCATAAACAATAGGGTGTGGATGCGTGGTTTGAATGCCACACGACAGCGTTGCCATATATGTATATCTCAAGGGTTAAGCTTTTCTGTTGCAGCTGTTAAGTTTGGCTGATGTTGCTGCTGCTGTTAAATGTTGCTGCTGTTAATGTTGCTACTGCTAATGTAGCTGCTGCTCCTCATGTTGCAGCACATAATGTTGCTGTTGCAGCTGTTTATGTTGTCGGTGTGAATGTGTCAGCTTATAATGTTGCTACTGCTGTTAATGTTCCAACATCTCCTGCTGCTGCTGCTGCTGCTACTGCTGTGAGCTTTTAATATGGCGTCGCTGCTATAGTTGCGATGAATGTTGCTGATGTTGCCGATGTTGCTGATGTTGCTGCTGGGCAGCAACTAACAGCAGACTGCGCGACTGCATCTCAAAATAACGCAAAAGCAGATTTGAGTATCAGTAATGTACGCCGGGCGCCGATGGGTTGGGGGCGGTACTGACGCTCACACTGCCACTCCCACCGCCACTGCTACTGTTGTTGTTGTTGCCGCTGTTGTTGTTGCTGCTACTATTGTTGTTGGCGCTGGTGTTGTTGGTGCTGCCCGAATCGCCCAGCCAGGAATCCGGACTGGGCGGAAAATCGGGATATCCCTGATCGGGACTAGAATCGTTGCTCAGATCGGACACATTGTTGCTACTGTGCAGGCGATGGTGCGACTTATTGACATGCAAACTAGAGCCCACCGCTTGATCTGTAAGATATAGGGTGTAGCCTTAGAAAATAATCATGGTTTTATCCTAATCTGAGACCCACCTATATTGGTGTAGACAATATTATCCGGATAGGAGCCGAACGTGTGACCCGGGCCAACTGGCGGCGGAGAGCGACTGCTCGGCGGAAATTGCGACGGACTCGAGCTGCCGTGCATGTAGGAGCCGCGGATGCTGTGCGGCGAGGCGCCCTCATCCAGACCCAAATTGACGGTGCTATAGCTGTCGTTGCTCAGATCTGCAAGGATAAGAATTGGACATTACAATAATGACAATTTAAACAAGAATAAAAGTAAAGAAGGCAACGAATATTTTGTATCTGGTTGAATGTTTTTGCCCCTTAAACTTTGGCTAGTTTTCTCACTAGGTAGTAAACATTTTTTTAAAAACAAAATCTTTATTGATTTTGATACACAAAAATATTATTTTAAAAATAATAGTATTTTCGGACTTTAAAAGTTTTAAAGGTTAAATTACTTCCTAATTTTTGTTTCCAAGCACTTTCAACCAAACACCAATATAACATTTTATACATATTAATCAAAACTTGTTCAATTTGTATGTGATTTAAAACATTTAAGTAAATTTACTGATTGCTCTACCAAGAGAGTGAAAATGTTGTCAGTTCTTTAGATTTTAAATTTTGTATCTCAAAGAAAGGTAATGACAGACGGATAGATGTGTATTTTTATTGACTTATGCCTTGCAGATGATTAATTTTGTTTTGCTTCTTAACAAAGTAAGCTCAAGGACTCACCGTGGTGACTGAAGCTGTCGTAGTCGACCTTCAGCTCATCCTTGTCGAGGAATTTGTCGGTGCGTGGCGAGCAGTTGCCCTTCATTGAGCGGAAGTATTGGCTCCAGCGCGTGCGACCCGCGTCCTTTTTCAGTCGTTTCTCCTTGGCCCGCCTGTCAAAAGGATGCAGAGTTAGTAAACAGATGAAATGGGGAAAAAGGGTGAAGGGAACGCACCTGTTCTGGAACCAGACCTGCACCACCCGCATGTCCAGGCCGGTGTCCTGCGAGAGCTGCTCACGTACATGTCGGGCGGGCTTGGGGCTGTTGTTGTAGGCGGTTTTCAGGGTCTCCAGCTGCTTGGCGGTGATCGTGGTGCGCGGCCTCTTATTCGGCTGATCGCCATCCAAGGAGCCATCCAAATAGAGGCCTGAGGGAGGGGGTAAAAATCCATAGTATTAACACGAGATCCTTAGATCTGTCGTTATCGACAGGAGCACCCACCCTTGGCCTTGGCCTCCTCGTAGTCACGCTTGCAGATGAGCTTGCGATCCTCCATCAGGTAGAACTCGTCGCCCGTGTTCAGGGTGCGGGAGCACATGGCACACAGGAAGCACTGCAGATGGTAGACGTTGTCCTGGGCACGACGCACCACCTGCGTGGGCGGTATGCCCATATCACAAGCGGAACACTTTGTACCGTAACGTCTGTTCGACCCGAACATTGGCAAAACGCGACATGGAAGGAGATTATTTTTATTAAACCAACTTGGCCCCATTCAAAATGGTGAGTCCCGCATCCATGCAGGCTTCCTGTTTTGGCTTTCGAGAAATTTACTTACTTGAAGAAGTCCTCCTTGCAGAACAGCTGGCCGTTCCTCGCGAAGCACTTGTCGTTCAGCTGGCCATGGCACTCGCTGCACTGCAGGCACTTCGCGTGCCACGTCCGCTCCAGCACCTTGAGGATGAAACGGTCCAGGATCAGCTCGTGGCAGCCACCGCACTTCGGGATCGTAGCTATAGGTAAGCCATAAATTGTAAGTTAATTGCTTTGGATCTTATATATTTTCGCTTTGGTTTGCATTTGGAGTGAGAGTCTTTGCTTTTGATTTACCCATCTTGCTTATTGTATTTTGTTTTTCTGCTTTTCTCAGCTATTTATTTTCCCCTTTGCACAGACTCAAATCAAAACAATATTTAATTGAGCTATTTGATTATAAATTCAATTTTCTTTTGTCGTCTATTTAAAAAGTCACTATATAGAAAACATTAATATCTGGTTTGAATATACAAAGTTTTTCAGCCCAAATCTTTTTGGAAAATAATAAGTGTTTTTTAAAGAGTTTTAAAGCTAACTAGAGCTTGGTGCACCTACTAAAAGCAAAAGATACAATAAATTATATTATGTTTTTGACTTGGTTTTCGTCTAGTGATATTTTGGCTATGAATACCAATTTTTGTTCTTTTTAAGCAGAGGGGAAACACCAATGCACAAAGTTTACACTTTCGTTAAAAATAGTTTTATAAATTGTATTTTCTTAATTAGTTAAATAATTTATTTGTCAAAATATTCTAAGAGAATTTGTAATGCGTTTCTTTTTATAATAAATACATTTCTTTTTTCATAAAGAACATTTTGGTGCTAATACTAAAATGACTTAACATTTATTTTGAAATTCGAGATTTTTCATTTGTTAGTGTCATTACTGTAAAACGTTAAATTCACCTCACTTAACTTGACGTTAAAATCAATAAAAAAATTTGAAATTAACATAATTTTATACTTTTTCATATCACTAAATGATAAAGATAAAGTTTTTATATTTAAAAACCTTTAAAGGCGTATAAATATATATTCTTAAATTTTCGCTGAAGATTATCACCCATCTTAAGAGAATATATTGAATTCACCCCTACCCTTGAAAATATACTCTTATATCTTTAAATCACTTAAGATGCTATGATTTCATTAGCGGCTTAAATTTTCTTGTTGCCATGTCGCACACCTTGTGTAAGAAGAACAAGATTCCCAGCTCCTATGACCCACTAAGAGGAAAAAACCGCTGCCAAACAGCGAGGTCGCAACCCGCTATCCTTTCCCATTTAAATCCTTATGCGACTTACATAGTAAGAACTCTGGCAATTGACTCAAATTAATCGGCGGTACGCGATCATCACATTTGCCATTGGACAGAAAGTCACTTTTGAACATCATTAGTTTCAAAAGTTCCATTGCTGTGTTGGCGGTGGAAATCCCGACGCTCCTTTGGTATGCAAAAATTGCTAATTGGATTCTATCCTTATGCGAAGCAATCAACCATCACTTTCACTATTTCACATTGTGGTTTTTGGTTGATTCAATCCACATTTTGTATGCTTTTGCCAATGGCTAAGATTAAGTTTAGTGAAATTTTCGGTTGTTATTTATTTAGTTTTGGGGTTTTATTTTTTTTTGTTGGTTTTCGGGTTGGCTTGTGTCTAAAGCGTTATCACAGAATTTTAGCTGCACGAATGACCGGGGAAAAAACCGAGCGGCAACTTCGAGGCTTGGAAAGCAACTGACGACTAACGGCACACGATGGTACTGCTCATCGTGGAAGGGGGGTTGTCTGCACACACTTACTACACTAACACACTCACACAGGGGCTGACATAATCACGGCTGGAATGGGGAAAGGGGAACGGGGAAACCCAACCCTTAGCATTTCCAATTGGAAAGCTGATTCGGCTGCACCCTGTGTTTAATGCTGTTGTTGTTGTTGTTGTTGTTATTGCTGTTCCGACTGTGCCAGTTTTCCAGACTGGCCTTTTTTCGCTTTTCATTTTTTTTTTTTTTGCCCTCAACAATTGAGTTTGGGTTGGTCGCCAAAAACAAAACGGCGGGGAAATTGCATTGTAACACTTTGCCACATTCCATTTTCCACTGGCATGCGTGTGCGTGTGCAAGTGTGCAAGTGTGTATGTGTGTGTGGCGTTTTCTTTTGGCTTTTTTGTGTGTTTGTGCCTGGGATTGGTTGTTTTGTGTGCGTCGACGTCGCCTGCAGTTTTCGGGGAGTGGTCTCTCGAAAAGCTCTTTTCAACTCGGCTTTTTACCCACCACCACCCACCCCCTCCCCTTTGGCAGCCCTCTCTTTCTGGCACTCGTAGCCCCGTCTCTTTTCCTCCTTCTTGCTCTCTCGTTTTGTTGGCAAATTCGGTTGGAAAACACACTGTACGGTACTAAAAATACACATAAATATGTTTGTATTGTTTTGAACTGCAGTTTTGCTCTTTCCTTTTCTTCCATCCAGCCATATCCTGCCTGCATGTGTACGGACGTATGTGTGTGGGTGTGTGTGTTTGTTAATGTAGGTGTGCGCACTTGGCTGCCATTGCTTATTGTTGTGTCATTGTTTCGTAACTGTGAAAATGACCTTAAAGCCGTTAAATAGCTGACTGACTGACTCCGACCGACCGGCTGATCGAGAGCAATGTCTGCGCACCTGCCACCCAAAACCCCAGACCCCAGACCCCTGACCCCTCTGCCCCTCACACCCCCTAAAAACCACATAGTGAAATATGTTTTAAATTGCTCGTCAATCTATATTAAGTGTTAATGGCATTTTCAATATCTGCATTATATTTAGTTTTTATTAGTTATGATTTTAAAATTCTCAATGTTTTGATTTTCTAGCTGTGAAGGTAGTTTATGTAACTTATAAGAAGTATTAAAAATAATAGTTCTGAAAATAATAAATGTATTTCAAACATTGTTCTAGAATATAATTTGCAGCTAACAATTTCTTTGTTTACATTTTGGACTTCTAGAAAATATGCACAGTTTTTTAAAAATGAATTATTTTTCCATTTTAAAAACTATTATACTTTACTTATTTCCTTTTTGAAAACATTTTTTAAAAAATTGTTGGTTGTTCTTTATGATATGATATCGTACCAACTTTGAACTGTCATTTTTCTCAGTGCATCCATACACACTCGACCGCTTTAGGCCATCCGTCAGTCGGTTGGTGAGTCGAGACGAGACGGACGCCTATGAGCTGCCAAGTGGTCCAGGCTCTCGGTCTCTTTGGTCTCGGCCATTTTCCAAAAGTCAAAACATGCGTAGCCAAAGGGAGCAACAACTACACACTCACACACGCAAACGACAATTCACACACATTCGCATTTGGCTTTCGGACTTTTGGACGTTTTAAAGGCTCTTCTTTGTAATTTGACTTGACAGTCTGGCTGAAATATCGTTATTTTTTTCGGTTTTAAGTTATTTCTGCCTCTCAGATTTTATTCATCATGGCATGTTACACTGAAACCTTATTTAAAGTGCAGGGAGTTCATTTTTATTTACATTATTTTTTTTTTACAGTTCCTTTCACAAACTAATTTTCAACAGCTAAACAATATTTATTTGGTTCGGTTTGTATTTAATAAATCTTAAAGAAATATGGTTTGAAACGGAAATAATATAATCGCAACTAAAACATCTCACTCATACTTTTCTAATCGAAGAAAGAGGAAAAACTTTTCAACAAACAGCTTTTAAAGGCTTATAGTTATTTATTATCTGTGTCCTTTCACATGTGCAACTTAGCTAAAATATTCGTAGTCTACTTCTTGGGGATTTCGCAACCATATTGACAATAACGCAAGAATTGAAGCACATACATAGTACAATTGTGCTCTCCAAATAAAAGAAACCCGATACAAATTCATAGCCGACAGCGACGTTGTCAGGACTCGACAACAGGATTCACAACAAAAAGAGCGAAAAAGAAAAGGGACTTTTTTGAATGGCTGCCCCGGGTAAAATGGCGGATTCGCAATCGAAGGCAAATTGAGCGGTACGCAGGCAGGCAAACAGATATATGTATCTATATATAAATTCATCCTTGTCGCTAAGCATTATCTGGGCAGCAGGACACCAGGATTTTCTGGGCCCGAAGGGGAGCTTAAATATGCTGGCAACGGGCAAAAGGCAGCCAAAGCTGGGATTATGTCTAGCAGAACCCAAAAGCAGCTCTTTTTCGTGTAAGCATATCGCACTCCCTCGATATCCCCGCTATTAGGGCAGGTATCAGGCATGCAAAGACAGGGTTTTCAAAAATTCATACAGAATAACCAGAAAAACTTCTGAAAATGGACCTACGCAAGCACGCACTCTACAACTCGGTTCACTTCTGTCCAAGCTTGTTGCCTAATCGCAGCGGGCGAAAGATAAAATGCCCATCAACCTGGGTGAGGAGTTGTGGTCAGTGGGTGGTTAGTCGGTGACTGTAATACATCAAACCACCCACAACAACAACAGCCACACTCCTGTAGATGGTGTTCTAAGGGTTGCGGGCACGCCCTGTAAAACAACTTGCCTGCAGCAAAAACAGCTATAGCTGTAGAATAACGCTTAAAAAATATGCAATACTTAATCATTAACTAAGAAACAAATAGATGAATAGCCCAAACAAAATTATGTTTAAAGAATAACAAATTTTGGACGAACAAATAATATTACTTTACTCTGAAACCAAAATTCCTTAATTTTAGGAAAAATTCCTCAACATGGCCTCAAAAATAAGCATCTCGATACGGAAAAATTACCTTATAAATGACTTGGAGCCATTTGTACTATTACATAAACTAAACAAAAACATTTTTTTAGTTAAATTCCAAATCAAAAAATATTTGAAAATTAAAATTGTGAATTATGGCCATATTTTTTGGAACCCTATCACTCAAAACTAAACACCTCGCAGTACATAATAAATAAATTCTTTAGAACGTCAGTATGGTGTCACCCCTTAATCATTTTTCTGCCTTCAGGAATATATTATTCTTTTTAAAGTGTACCCTTGGCTATATCCTGCTCTCCGTTTTTCGATCCAAGCTGCTGGTTTTGCCGTTGTAGTTGCCGTTGCAACGCGTGGGCCAAAAGTCCCCTGGCGACTTTAGCCTGTCGTGTTGCCTCAACGTTAAAACTTGAAAGCGTTGCCACCACTCTAATGCTTGGCAGCTTACTCCTCCATACTGTT